GTTTCGTCAAAAGAAATAACCTACACATTAAAAAAAAAAAAAAAACTGAATACCTACTTAATTTTAAACAAACTGAAAGTAAAAGTAAATATTGCTAATCAAAATATATGATCAAAGGTTTTTTTTACACTTCTTATCAAAAAAGAAGAGAAAAATTAAAAGCGTTTTTGGATCCTCAAATCAAATCTTAGTCCTCTGTTTTGTCCGCTTTCCCTTGTTTTGCTCCTCTTGTCTCTCTCATTCCATCCCCTTCTTTCTCAAGTAATCTCTAGAAGATATATAGACAAGAAAAGGGTTTTTGGATCCTCAAATCAAATCTTGGCCCCTTTAAATTTTTACTAAATCTCGTGTTACATTACATTTGCTAGTTGCGTTCCACTAATCTTGGATAAATTATCTTGTTTCTCTTTATCCTCTTCAGCCAAGCAGAACTTCTCCATTACAGAGCTTATAGCCCGAGTAAAATGTAGTAAACAAGTGTGATCGGTAGTGCGATAAGCATTCCAAATATTACCCTGCAATAATACACATAAGAACATCAACAATATTAGTAATCTTATCTTTTGTATATGAAAAGTTTTATTATTGATGCAATATTAGTTACTTATCAACAATATTAGTAATCTTATCTTTTGTATATGAAAAGTTTTATTATTGATGCAATATTAGTTACTTACCCTGTACTCAAGATTGCGGGATGAACATTATACTCTTTTGCAAATACAAACGGCACGATCCCTTGAGGCAATGCAGCCTACAATGTTACCACAAGATTTGGTTAAATTACTTCTTACAAAGGGATTGTTAACAACAGACGAAAATAATTTTAATTTACTTGAACAATGGCCACACGCAATAGGTCTCCACGTAATCCGATAGCCATTGCTGCTACGGCCATCACCGCTGGTCCAGTAAAGAATCTCACCGCCATTGCAAAAGTCGCAGTCGAATTTCCACAAGCAATTAATTTAGGTTGCAATGCCATGAACAACCCTTCACCATTTTCACATCTCAGTTAATACGTTTCCACTCAAAACAATAAGTGCTGAATGATGCATACATGTAAACGTAATCTAAATCCAATAAATGATGATGATGATGCATATATGTACATTGTAAGTCCAATCAACTTCCACTTAATATGGGGACCACGACAACAATCAAGAACACGAGCTATGTCCTCCCACCACGACCGTTTATATAATACGATGTCGCATCATTGACCCTACCTGTCGGATGGTCCATGCCGTAACGGGCCATTCCAAAAAATCTTAAAAAATACCAACCATTTTCAATTATTGGAATCCTCAACCAAAAAATTACAAATTTTTCCGTACGAATGTGTATGTTGTGACATTTGATTGGCGTAAAAATAGAAAGAAAGTAAATGAGTTAACGGAAAACAACAGAGTAATAAGATGACTCACCCAAACTGAACATTGCCATACCAAGACCAGCATCAGAAAGAATTGAGATTGATTGTTGAATGATTTTAGGCATTGCCACATCCCACCTTCATATCCAAATTACCATAACCATCACTCTCATCTAATCTCATAATAATAATTAACTTCCACTAGTAACTGATTTTTGATTAAGTTACCTGAAAGCAACAAGAGCCCAAATGAGACCAATGAGACTAGAGTAAGTGTTTGGGTTCCTTATCAGTTTCCTCCACACCATGATTAGTATCAACCGAGTCATCACACTTGCCGGCGGCATATGTTTTACCGGTACAGTTTCACTGGTTTCTATAGCTTCTTTAGGGTTTAGCTCTGCTGTGGAGTTACACCGAAGCTTGTGTAGTCCGTTGGGCACTTCCTTGACTTTCTCCGACTCTTCTTCGCAACCATAGTCTCCGTTCATCGGGCCAGCTACAAATTTAAGCAAATATAGTTTGAGATTAATTTGTATCAATATATTACAAAAAAATATAGAATTTAAAGTTAAAAAACTTTGTTTTCACCGTTTTGAGTAGGATCAGAGATCAACATTCGAATCTCTTTGGCACAGCCTTGATCGGATTTTCCGACTTGTTCATTTACTCCATTATCAACTTGAAGACCCGCTCGGTCCGAAACGGGTGATCCGTTAGATCCCCAAACAAACATATGAAGCTCCTTAGCATCATGACTATTCGATTTTCCGACAGGATGATGATTCTCTTTTGGAATTTTACTACCGGTAGAAAACTCCGGATTCGGAGCTGGGTACGACCCAGGAGCTCCCGGGTAATACCCGAATCTAGGCGACGAAGCCATAGCACAACTCTCCTCAAAATTCGAAGGTCTAGGAGTAGGCCCTCTCGAGGACTGAACAGAGTACATATCCGCTGGACCAAAGTTCGAAAGCCGACCACCGGGAAATCCCATCATAGAGTAAAAGTCAGAATGATTGAAGTTAGATCCTCTCGGAGTAGTGTTTAGACTATAAATCTCAGCTCCGGAGAGATTCGACGGACGAGGAGTCATATTAGTACCACCACCACCGTAAAAAGATCTCCGAGAAGCGTTTGATTTCCTCACCGTAACATGAAGCTTACCATCGTCACCGATTTGAGCATCAGTTTCAAGAAAATCATGTCCGTCTAAAGAAACAACATCGGACTCAACTTTGAATGATACAATCGAAGCACCAGTCTCTGGGAACTGTTCCATGATCAAGATCTTAGCTCCTCTGTATTCGAAAAGAAAGAGAAGAAGCGTGTACCAGATTATACACTGAAGAACAACGATCTGAACCATGAGTGAACCGGAATATTCGCCGTACATGGCGATCAAGAGAGGTATTCCCATAACGAGAGTGTTGGGAAGTGTTGAAAGAGAGAAGATTGTGATGCTCCATTCGAGACTACCGGAGCGAGTGAAGTTAGCCCAGATGATTAGGAGAGTGAGCATGATTAGTTTTTGGAGTGTATCGGCGGCGATGAATCGGAGATTCATTGCGTAAGGATTGTTGGAGGAGATGAAGTGGAAAGAGAGAAGAGGGACGGCGAAGATAGCGACGAAGCGGTTTATGCCGGAGCATTGGTCTGGTGAGAAGATTTTCCACCACCGGACGGAGCCGTAAGCGAGGATCATAGCTACGTAGAGTGGTATCACCGCCGTGAGGACGGTGTAGAGGTCGTGCCATGTGATCATTGTTGTGTGCCGGAGTGGCAAAAGTGTAATTTTGAGTGTGGAAACCGTTAGGAAGTGAGTTAGTGTCAGTCTATGTGCTCTGTGTGATGACGGAAGCTTTTAACAGAGAAGCTAGTGAGTGTGTGAGAGAGAGAGAAGAAGGAGAAGATTTGATGATTTTTAGATTTACGAGAGATGTCCCTTTACAGCTTTTTATACAGCAAACACATGACGACCTAATTAGTTCCTATTTTTATTTTATTACTTCTTTTAACATATATAAATCTTATCTATTTTTGTACTTTTTTCCTACTATCTATATCTGAACTTTGCCTTAATTTCTGTACCACTTAAGATGATATAAAGAAATATCAGATTAGATTCATGTAGTGTTTATGGTTATGAATTGTGTTTGAAATAGGTTAAGAATTTGTTACGAAATTGATTGAAAATTTTTAGAGTGGATTGTGGAGATTTTTAAGAGTTACTAGTCCGGTAGTACACCACGTACATTTAGGACAAATCACTTATTTAGCCAAATACTATTGTTTAAAACTATCACTATATCTTTAACTCTTTAAGGATATGTGTCACAAGTAAATGAAAATTTCCATTCCGTGAATTTTGTGAGTCCTTGATAAATGCTTCTAAAAGTAATAGATATTGTGGTTTTTCCCAAAAAAGAGGTTTGGTTTTATCTAAAAGTAAACATAATATTTTGTTATATGCTTCTTGGGCAGTTGGGCTACTGACTCATTATTACTATGCTTGGTTTCTCATATGAATGGGCATTTGGCCCAAACAGAAACAAAATAAACGTAAACACAAATATAAGCATAAAAATAATGTCGTAGTGGTGATTTAAACACGTGATTAAGGAGCAAAAGATTACTATAAATTGGTAAAGAAGGGGCTTGCAGAGTTGCAGGTCATATTTGCCTAACTAGGTTGACCAAAATTTGAATTTTGATTTCCAATCGTCTTTTTTTTTAAGCTAGGGGTTAATTATAACATCATATGCACTCCCAAGAAATTGGTTCACACTTTTAAGCCACCCTGTCCATTTTCTTTCATAAGGCTTATCAGATACATTCTATCTGGCCTTTTGTTTTTAAAAGGTACGAGTTTTTTCTTTGTTGTTGTCGGGAAAGTAGTAGTTTAAAAGGATACCTTATGCGATATGAAGTCTAAAAGATCTTCACGTGACCGTATCAAGAATTTTTTTTCATAGAAGTCACAATGTTACTACAGCTTTGAATGTATTCGATTGAACTGCATAGATTATTTCACAATGTTATTACAACTTCAGAAAAATTTAATGATTTCACAAAAAAGAGTAATCATCTATGTTATTAGTTCATTTCATCTTTTAATCTAGCTAAATAATCAATTCGATTTATAGATCAGTTTTATTTTGACATTAAAACTCTTGCCTAAAACGTTACACATGTATATATCTTTGTATAGTTTGCTTCGAAACATACAAGACGTTGTTGATGCAGACGCATAGCTGATTTGAAGTCTTCTTGAAAGTAATTGCTTCTTCTTGATTCATCTACGTCAGTTTCATATCCCTTGTGACAATTAAAAACTCATCGACTTTGTAAGCTATAGCTTGGCAAAGTTCTTAACACAATTTGGTTCATGATTTGATCATCTTTGCCATATTTTCTAATATTATAAAAATTAATTATCTTAATACAAACTATTACCTATATAGTTTTTTGAATCAGTTTATTTCATAACTAAATTTGATATATATATATATATATATATATATATATATATACACATATAATCCTTTTGATCTAGCTAAGATTCAATTCATCAATTCGATTTCAAGATCAATTTTATCCTCGGAGACTAAATATGGCAAAGTAATACTACAAAATGGCGAAACTCATATTAAACATATCTTGTAATCTTGACCAAAATCATTACCGGAAAGAGAGAGAGAGAAACATAACATTACATCTGTACTGAAATGAAAAGATGAAAAGAGACAAAAAGGAAAAATTTAACCATCCGTTAAATATCATTTTTGGACCGACCCAAAAAATTACAGTTAAACGTTATTGAGAGGTGGCCCTTTAAGAGATAGCGACGCAACGGCCTCAGCGACGGTTAAGAAGAGAAACTCGGGTCTCATGAACTCTTTTTGTTCGTCAGCTCTTTGTAGCTTCTCCATCACTTCGCTTAGAGGGTTCACAAACACAAGCTTCACACATAAAATAAATATCCGGTTTATATCAAAATCTAATTAGTTCCCTTGGATCAGTGACAAAAAACCTGTTTGTGAAAACAACTTTTTTTACCTCAATGTCCTTCTTCGCGGTTGTTTTCTTCAGTTCCTTAAAAAAGGAGACTCCGTTTGTGTCTACACCGCTCACGGCTTTAACATATATAAAAACAAAGTTAGCTAGTTGAAATATATTGGTTTACTTAAGTTTTATGGGTTTTTCGTAAGAAAACTAAAACCAATTGTTAATGAATGAATTTACCTTGTCCCTTATTTATTACCTTAACTCTAATCACATTTCCGTTATGGAATTCTAATAGGATTTTATTAAGACTAACCTGACATTTCAAGAATCAAGAACTGAAGTCTAGAATGCTTCTCTTGAGCTTCCTCTTCTTCGCATTCTTCAATCCAACGAGATGTTCTATAAATTTTTTATGCAACACAAAAGCAGAGAATGTTAGTATATTATATATCAATGCAACATAGTTATTAAGAAATGTGGTTCTTGTATAGTAATTCAGATTCCGTTTGCCATTACAATTTAATAAACATCGCGGTTCATTTTCTTTTAAGAGATCAAAATCTAATGTATCCGAACTTCCAAATTGTATATAGTCATATAGAAAAGAATCGTAGTTTACAGCTAACCTTTCAGTGAGGTAGTTAGAATTGGCGAAATTGACAGGAGATTCGATACTTAAGACGAGGAATCCTGGGATCCTTTGTGCTTCTTTGTAATGATGAAGATCCCGGTATATATCCGTTCCCGGAATATTACCCATTATAACCATTTTCGGCCTTGTTACTTGCATCAATATCTTGAACAACGATAGCCCTACCGCAATGGCGAGACCGTTTTGAACGGATAGGAAAATGACACCAAAGAACGCGCAAAGCATCACAAAGAAATCAAATTTATCGATCTTCCATATCTGACAGGCCGCGGGAAGGTCAATTAGACCAATGACTGCGGTCACGATGATGGCACCGAGGACCACGTTGGGAGTGTATTCGAAAAGCGGCATTAGGAAGAGAAGCGTAACCATAACCGTGACCGACATCACGATGTTTGAAACCGCGGTTTTAGCTCCCGCGTTGTTGTTTACAGCTGATCTAGAGAATGCTCCGGTTGTGACGTAGCAAGATGTGGCAGAGCCTACTACGTTCATTAGACCAATGGCGATCATCTCTTTGTTTCCATCTACGTGGTAGTTCTTTAGCGCTGCGAATGTTCTTCCCACTGCGATTCCTTCCTGTTCCATTACTAATTTAGTCAGGTGAACAATTGTTTCAAACTCTACATTTTTTACGCTAAGATAATCTTTTTCATATCTTTAGTCAAGTGAACCCACAAATTTTGTTTTTAACTTGAACCGACAATTTTAAACGTTTAAATCAAAATGATTTTCTTTAACTTATAAAAGTAAACGCCAAATATTTTGCATTTATAGTAAAAATGTATTTTATGTAAACATAAAATTTGTTTTATATTTCGAAAATGTGATATATTTATTTCTCACGTAAAAGTTGCGTTTGAAAAGAATAAAAAAAAAACTATACCGTGAGGGAGACGATTCCGGTGACGAGTCCGGTTTTGGCGACGAGTGCGAGATGACTACCGTGAAACTGAAGCATGTTCCAAGACGGTGGATTCAAACCTTCTTGTAATTTCCCGATCTATCAACAAATTAAAAGATTTCAAAATTTCTGCAAAACAAAGAGAAAGAAAAACAGAGAATTGGTTTATAGGGGGAAGAGGGAAGCTTACGACGCTGATTCCGTGACGGTCGGCTCTGAAAACAAAGACAAGAAGTGTAGAGACGATAACGGAAAGAAGTGGAGCTCCGGCTGAGACCCAGAACAGCTTCGGCTTCTTCATGCTCTGCATTCAGATTCCTTCTTATTATTACTTAAAATATACTATTTGACATCCCCACGCAGTAATTATCAAAAAAAAAAAAAATCGCCATGCAGTAATTTCTTAAAATATAACATTCATTTTTTAGCGACGACAAGCAAAAATCAGTAAGATATATGTTTCGGTGCATCTAAATTAATATCTTTGATGTTTTCTGTTCATAAAACTAGTTTTGACATCCTAATGTAACATTTAAATGTCATTTATTCGTTTTCGATTTGTGAATAAATGTGAATTATTTATATATAAAAAAATCTCTTTATGTAATAGTGTTTTTTTTTTGGTTGACTGCATAATATTCATGAGAAACAGGGGAACAAGAACAAAACCAGAGCAAAGTATGTAACAGCTATATAATCATTAAACTAATCAAATCTTTACCATAATTAACTTTTTGATGAAATAATTATTTGTTTTACTACTCCAAAACAGTTAGTTCGTTATTTATGGCGGGAAGAAGGTTTAGAGAAACAATGGCGGTCCATCGTAACAAATGTTGTACATGCATATTGATGGAGAATGAAAATGACAAATGAATAGTGAGAGGTAAGCAACATACGAGGTGACGTGTCGCGAGCAAGAAGAGCAAGAAGCAAACTCCCATCACAATTGTTTGCCATGACCACTGCACAATAGTACCATTAATAACATTGTAAATCAAAATTGACTAAAACAGAGGAATTAGGAAAAAGAAGAAGAAGAGAAACCTCGTTGGTGTGTTGGAAAACAGAGGAGAGAACAGGGACCACACTCATTTGCTTTGTGAAATGAGTTATCCCAAGCAGACCCTTTAGCTGTTGGAGTGATACAATTATGGCTGCTCCACCCATAAACCCTATTAGGGTCGCTTTTGATAGAAAGTCTATTATAAATCCCAGCCTACACATTAAAAAAAAAAAAAGTACACACAATGTTTCTTTTTCTTAAACAACATCTTCTCCATTGACACTTGGTGGTGCAAATTACTCTTTTTGTTTGATCATGAATTATTTCATATTTATGTTAAAATACACATTCATATTTCTTAGAACATTTTATGAAATCCATATCTTTTAATTAGTGATAGAATAGTAATAATATATGATTTATTCTTTATCACTTTTTCTAAAAAGCTTATTATACTTTGGACTAGGGTCAATAATATGATAATTATCTTCTAAATATGTATAAAACGTAAAAACAATCTTAAATTTGTTCCTAATCTTCAAAGGCAAGTAATATAAGCACCGACAACATTTAACGTTTAGTTATACTAGTGTGTATATGTAACCCTACAGACTGCCACTAGCCTAGGCCATGCCCAATATTGACCTCACATACACACAAATATTTCAACAGATATAAAACATGGTTAATGTAAAGCTAAGTAACTTTTTGGGTAAATATATAAATTTATAACCTGAGGATTCCAAGAGAGGCTTGAAAGAGACCAGCAAAGAAGGTAGAAGAGAAGGCTAGCTGTAGAAAGAGAAGAGGATTGTCTACGGGTGATACTTGTTGCCTTAGCATGGATCCTAAGATCAACGACGCTATGGAGACTGGTCCCACTGCTAGATCTCTTGAGCTTCCCAAGACCGCATATACCAACGGTGGCACAAAGCTCGAGTCTACACATACATCAACACACGTGTTTATGTAACGCTCAATAGTCTATAATGTTTCATGTGTATGAAAGGATAATTCTAATCAATTTCACTTTTAGATTCTCACATAGACCAACGATTGGTGGTAAATTTGCTAGCTTCGCGTAACTTATCCCCTGTTTTTATGAAAACCAAGAAGAAGAAAAAATCAAGAATTGGATTAAATGGTGGTCGTTATTGATCGGAACGTGAAATGGGTCGTCGTCGGCTTTTTGCTACGTACGTACCTGAGGAATAGCTAAACTGGCGATAGTGAGACCTGAAACGACGTCGGATTTGAGTAGTCTGAAGCTGTACTCAGGACACCATTGGAGGATAGGGAAAATGTATTGAGCGGCGCGTATGAGTTTGGTACGGTTTGGTTGTCCTCTGAACTGTCTTAAGGGATCGTCCGGGAAGAAGGTCTCCTTCAGTCTTGTCTTAAGCTTCGCCACCGTGCTCTTATGTGGTGGAGCAACCACCTTGTGCACCTCCATAATTAATTGGTTTTCCTAAGAATTTTTGTCACCAATGTGTGATGTTTCCTCTCTTGGCTCTTTGCTGATAATTTAAACATTAGCATTCTTTCGGGTCGGTCTTTAACATTTTATAATGGTATCTTATCTTGTTGGCCTCTCTTTTATTTTTGGTAAGAAAAAAAAAATTCGGAAAGTTACACGTACTGTTGTCTCTGTAAGGAAAACAAATTTTGTAATTTGACCCGATATTCCGTTTTGTTTTGTCTTTTGTTTTTGGCGTTTGTTTATTATTTACCCTATGAGTATTGATTCGTGTTATACTATTATATATAAAAAAAACATAAGAAACTGATTCGTGTCTATATATGCTCCAAATCTTTCACATCGCCACCTTGAGAACTTGTAATAATGCATATTCAGCAAATTTAACTGGTTGTAGTAAACTTGGTTTTGTAGAGACAAAAAAAAAAACAGAATTATATAGTTATGATCATTTATGGTAGATGGATAGTTTTGTGAAGCGACTGAACAATATATCTATTTTAGTTGAATGGTTTTTATTTGTGTAGAAAATAATAAACAACAACTGATTAGTATTTTTTATTAAGTACGATAAGTACTAATTATAACACTATATCTATATATAATATATATATATATAGTACTTAAGTTACAACATATATATATATATATATATATATATATATTTGTAACAATAATTTATAACAGTCTTAATTAGTTTCCACAATTTAAGAACGTAAGAACTTAAGTAATAGTATTATATACTACGAATAATAAATAAATGGCTTAATTACGTTTTGAAAACATAACAACTAAGACAATTTGAGTAACAATAATGCATAAATGTATCTATCTGGTCATGTACCCATTGATATCGCTAACAAACAAAGAGACGAAGAACTAGTCCACATGCACTAGGGGTTGTTGTTAGTTGTTACATTCATCCGGACAAAAAGAAAGTTTATGATTTTTGATTTATCATCGTTGGGTTTATGAGTCGAGCCCACAAAAAAAAAAAAACTATAAATCTAAAGTATTATATAGTATAAATTATCAAAAGCCTCACTTTCTATAGAAGAATATCAAGAGTCGACTTGATTTAAAGAGTTTAAGAAAAAAATTAATGTGTTGTCTTTATTCGAGTGAAAATTGTTAAAACCACACTTATTATGAAACAGATGAAAAATATGTAACAATTTATCCATTATTCGTTCTTTATGTCAATCGTTATCTCTAAAAATATCATATATATCTCTAAGATATAGTTCACAGTTTCATTGCTGACAAAATTAAATAAAACAAGTACATTATGAAGTATCGTATAAGTTTAGCTAGTAAGTGATATTGAACCATGATCGTATAAGTAAGTGATACTAGTATTATAGTTTGTTACTCGACGATTGTCTTCTCGTGTGAATCAGATCAAGTATATATTAATTTAATAAATGAAACTCGGACATTCCTTGTTTCTGGTGAAAGAAACGAGGGGACCAAAATTAAAGAATTATTTACATATTCATAGAAGATGAATTATCTAACCACACTTATAAAAGAAATAGAAAAAATTCCAACCAAACCTATCTACGTCGACAAAAAACACGTCGATTATATGGACGGCAAAAACCTACGATTTTAACCTACATATTTGAATCAATCCAGCTGGCTAATATTATAATTATATATATATGAATAAAAACCACCCTTAGACATAATTATTGCGATTCCAGTGAAGGATCAAATGAACTAATTAGTTAATGCAATTTGCTTAAAATTTGGTTTCAATGTATAGGATTGAGTCAAAATACCAAACTGTTTTTGATAAGTTATAATCCAAACTGCAAGATTCTTGACCCACTGATTATTATTGGGTCCATCTAAAAATGGTGGAGCAAAAAGTGAGCATTGGTGTAGATTCATTATGAATTCTAATTGTTTTTTTTTTGCGGTGAAATGGTATAATTAACCGGCTTTATGAATCAGTTTATTGCAATATAATGGTAAAATTAAATAGGAAAAATGTCATTTAAATCATCAATTGTTCATTTTCGTTGATTTAAAGCATGAACTCTGTATCCGGTGATTAAAATGCTCAATTTTATGTTGATTTTCAATTTAGTCATGAATTTTCGTTGACAAAAACCAATTGAGACATAAAATCGAAATCGAAAGATGAAATCTTGAGAAACTAATATTAAATCGGGATTTGAGAAGAAATCGAGAGAATTTATAATTTTGATATTATTTCTAGTTCTGGTTCATGAAGCCGGACCACAATTTATCTCTATACCAACAAAATAATTGACATATATTTTTTGGAAGATTTTTGTTTTTAGTTTTGTACATCGAACAAAAATGTTTTGGCTTGGTAAATCATAGGAAACATCTGATCAAATTTAAATAGTTATTATATCCATTTAAATAACATTTATTTTTCGCTTCACCAGTTCTATCAATATTTTATACTATTATTAATTAATAGAATTTATTCCATTTGGTTTTTAAATTCTGTATGCTTTGTTCATCTCCTACCCCTCGTTTCCTTTGCATCGTTAAAAACCCTAACTAAGTATGCTTATGTTTTTTTCTTCTTATAACGTTGTTTTGGTTCGGTGCGAAAAAAATCAAAATCATTGTGTAAAGAGAGAATAATAAGAAGAATGAGAATGATCTATGAAAACGTGTACCACGTCACATGGGAGGGCAATGAACACGAAGCCAAATAATACAAGTAAATGAATATTATAAATGGTATGGATATTGGTAGGCCAAATCGAATTGATAAATTGAAAAAGAATAGCAGAAGAAAGAAACAAAAGGGAAAAGTAACGGGACATGAATGGAGTTATTCATAGAAAAAGGATCTGATACCCAACTCTTTTGGAATGTATGCACATTGCGCACTTGTGAATGTATTCGCGTGACTCTATTGTTGACCATCTATCCACATTTTAAAGTTAAATTTTCTGAAATATATTATAGCTGCGAGTTAAACCATAGTTAAATTCTTGTTAATTAAATAAATATTAGCTCAAGGATACATAAATGTTCATGTATGTAATGAAAAAAAAAATGCATATAACAACCCATGTTTCAGACATGACACATGAATCTCTTGGCTTCCTCCACTAGACAAGTCATCGACTTTTTTAGGAATCTATAGTATTCGCATTTAATAATATATAGAGAAATAAGGAGATCATCTTGTATAGTATAATCAATAAAGATATTTTATAATGGTCACAAATTACCAAAAGGGATGTACATCTATTCAAAACTCTAAACTTAGGGTAAACATGGCGATTTAGGAATGCACATAAATATTACACACATAAAGAGCCTGAAATTTTTTGCGTTGAGAAAAAGAGAAGTAGAAAATGAAACTTCTTCATGTTGTTTTACCTAGTCTGGACCCAATAAATATTTGTTGAACGATGCAACACTAAAATACGACGTAGAAACCACACTATAAACCTACAACATTGAACTGGTAAAGCTATAACAGATAGTCTAATTTTAGCTATAAAAAAAAATTCAAACTAACAAAGAGTAGCTTAGAATCTAATTAGCAGTATAGATACAAATATCGTTTTACAAAATTATGCATTCAACATAATAATATCAATTATTTAACTCAATCTTCTTAAATATATATGAAATATATATATATATATGAAAAAAACTTAAGGGAAGAAGGCTAAATTATGACGGGGTGCCATTTTTGAATGATTCAATTGGGTTGTTTATATGCATAAGTGCAGCCACAAAATTTGTCAACCGACAATTTACCTCATAGTTTTAATTTTTCTAAAAAACTCCAGTAGATCATATATTTTTGTATTGCCAATGATTTTTTGGTCTTTTTCTAGCAAAAGATGATGTACTAGCTATTGATAAGATAATCAAAATGTTGAATTCAAATTAGCAGGAAAATGAGAAGGTGGGACAAAGGCGGCAAATGTCAAATGAGACACTGCTGATTAGCAAATATTCAAATAAGGGTGAAAAAGGAAGAGGCCAATGTCTATTTCCTTCCAAGTTACAACCATACAATCTGACCGGTGTGACCCAATCGTCCAATAGTAAGAAATAAGGGTCCCTAAAAATAATAATGCGACTTGAGAAAGTGACGACTGACAAGATCGGTCCTGCGATTTTATTATTTCAACCTTCTTTCAACCCCTATTCGGAACCAACTTGATAGTACATCAAACCACTTATACGGATTTGTCTTTGATATGTTTTTTTGGTTTTTGCATTATCGTGATGTGTTGATGCAATTTTGGTTTTTGTTTGTTAGCATCACGTTCTTATCTTTATGAAAATATACGTAACTGTGACTGAAAAGAGCTGTACCAGTTTTCTATACGTCTACAGTTTTAATAAAATTTTAAAGACAAGACGTGGATTTCATCCCAAATGTGAAGTCCTAACAATTTTTTTCTTCGGTTGTAGTAAAGAAAATTAGACTTTAGAATTTAGATGCTGTATTCTTTTTTCATATATACTACATATAAATTGTACCTATACAACCTAAATCTTCAAACCAATCTACCCACAATCATAACAAATAAGGATAGACTCAAATGGTTTTTAGTATAACATGGCATAAACTAAAAACTAATCAAGTGACTTTTGGTATAATGGTTTCCCTGAAAGAGGAAATCTTTAGTTCGAGTCCACTTGGAAGAAGAAATATTTCCAAAGAGAATAGTCTGAAAATTGTTTCCGGCTCTATGTAGATTAGAGTAAATAAATAGAAAAAAAAAACTAAGATCGTTTGGACTTTACATGTGCATTATAAAAATCATTTCATGAATTGAAATCAATACTTTTCTTTTAATATCGTTAATGTGAATCAACAGTTCATAAACTTAATATTCAAGCGAATAAACAACCATGAGAGGAATTGACAATAAGAAAGAAGGAAAAACAAACACAGAAATAAAATACCAAAAAAAAAGATGCTACAGCAAGTCGTATGCCATTCGTTTGGTGGATAACTTTTGATTTGTAGCTTCCTAATCAAACATCAATGTGAAATAAGTCCCTTTTTTTTTTTTCTTATCTAAGAAATTTATATAATAGCGTGGCACCTCAAGAAAGAACTTTAAACCCACCAATGGCTAAAACTTGGCTCTTGTCTTATTAGGTGTTGTGAATGATCTCCTCCTAATTTTTCAAAGTAAAAAGGTCGGTGCACGATGCAAGGCTTGTAATGTTCCCTTTGAATTTATGGTGAGATTCGATACGATGTTAGTGTCAAGATCCTCTTTTTTATTTTACACTCTTGCTTGGATGATAATTAAGGTGAATCTTTATGCTATAGTGCCTATCCATTTCTTCATCATTGTCATGAGATCTATCACCCATACTTATTATACTTTAGGGACCTCCTAAAAGACACATTGAGCTTTTGATTGCGTGTTGCTTTGTTATCATCTTTGCCCACTTTAGGGACCTCCAAGTGTCAGAATTTTTCTTTTCCATATTGTTCAACAAATTAGTTAGAGATAGGGCCATGCCATCCAATACAAATTTTAGTTCAATTTTCGTTTAAGCTTTTTTAGTTTTGAAATTTAAGAATGGAAATAAAAGTTGAATGCACGATTGGTTTTGGAAATAAGTTTTAATTAACACGGAATGAAGTTTTTGTTGCATCAGTATTTTCCAGTTGGTTGTCAATTCATTTATTTTTGGGCTGACTTAGAGACATCACTATGTAATAAAGTAATTGTTCTATTCAAGATTGTTAGCTCAAAACCTATATATGTGGTCTAAAATGCTCTGCATACGTGCATTGTCTTTCTACAAACTGACTTTACCATCGATTTAGACATCAATTGTCTGTTGAGTGTTGACGACATTTAGGTTTATATTTGTATTTAATGTCTACTTTTTTTAAACGAACGCCCACAACCAGTCAACCACAACTTTGAGTATTCGAAGTATATTTTTTTTGTTTGTAAACCCAAACGCAAAACTCATGATAATTTTATTTACGGATTGAGCAATGTATTTTCTATACTTAAGATAAATTTTGAGGTACTGAGAGCTTACTTTGGATAGCGGTTCACTTGTGGAAACAATAATGACATTTTCGTGTTTGGGAGCTTCAATTGGCGATCGAACTCGCTTAACTCTTCGTATAGTTGTGTCTTTTTCGGCGAATGCTCGCGCCTACTGTTGATTTCATTTTCTCATGTGGTTTTCTTTCATAATATGATTGTTTTCGTAGATTTCGTTTTTTTTTTGTTTTGTTATCTAATTGTAGTGTCCTTATTTCTGTAAAAAATCTCAAAAACGGTATCAAATTTGATCTTAAAAAAGTGATTTTTATGATTTAACGTGATATTTAGTAAAATAACATTTATTTTTATCCAACAATTTGACAACATTATTGAACAAGAACATGTTTGTTAAAAACACTTAATGGGCCTGGGCCACGTAAAGTCCAAGTAACCTTAAAAACCTAAAATCCAAAACACCTCTTCTGCTTAAACCCTAGACCCTAGAATATTCTTTTACCAACTCAATCAGAGCAACATTTTCGTAATCCGATCTCCGTCGTCGTCGTCGAAGCAGAGAGAAATGGCGAAGCGTTTGATCCCGACTCTCAACCGTGTATTGGTGGAGAAGATTCTTCCACCATCAAAGACCGTCTCCGGCATTCTCTTACCGGAGAAATCATCTCAGGTAAACGGGTTTCTTGAAAAATTCTCATCTTTATCTGTTTCTTCGATTGGACGAACTATAAATCTGTTGGATTTGATCGAACGCAGTTGAATTCCGGGAAAGTGATAGCAGTTGGTCCTGGAGCTAGAGACAGAGCTGGGAATCTGATTCCTGTTTCGGTTAAGGAAGGAGACAATGTTCTTTTGCCTGAATTCGGTGGTACTCAAGTTAAGCTAGGAGAGAAAGAGTATGTTCTTAAACTGTTCGATGTAATTCCTCTGAGAAAAATAAGTTTCAGTGACTTATTTCACTATGTGTTTCGTTTCTCTTTGCAGGTTCCTTTTGTATAGGGATGAAGATATCATGGCTACACTTCACGATTGATGTGGGAAAGAGATAGAATTGGTTCTTTGCTATTCGTTTTGTTGTCTGCGATAGTCTATTGATTTCGACTTTTGGATCAATTGTTATGATTGTTGTTCATTGTTGGCAACAAGTTCTTATAATTCAATAATCTCTTTTGTTTGGGAATGATGATCTACTTCTTACATAGAGATTACTGACTATAAGTCTAGAATGCTTCTTAGTTGTGTCGACTGATTAGGAGAAACAGAGAAACCATTTGTTTCAATGTTTTAAGAATAGAGAAGTTTTGTAGGAATTTCGGAAATCTTGATCTACTCAAGAAGCTTATTGCATGTTCCAACTCCAATGGCTGCAGCGAGGTGCCAGCCGGCGTGAATGAATGGTGTCTCGGGGAAGAAATCATCAGCTATGAACAAGGCACCTCCTAGCAATGAAGACATCTTGTGTACGTTATGAGCTGTTTTGAGATCTGGATCCTTTAAGCTTCTTTTAGCAAATGCGACCTCCATCATTCCAGTGTGAACAGCAGAGACCATGAGAGGCTGAAAAGGTAGAACTAAAGCTGATGCAGCCATCAAAAACTTTGGGTTCTCATTCCTTAGAGCCCTTGAGAGACACTGTCCACACACACCAGATTTAATCGGTTAAATTTTCTGAAGAAGAATTTGGAGATGGGTTAAGAAGAGTGGAACTTACTATTGTTGTTGTGGCTATCATTGTGTAATCTACCCATCTCAGGTACTTCCTCAACTTTCCCCTAGAGGCATGATACAGACTCGATGCAATTCCAACTCCAATTAAGGAGTTTGCGTACACCTTTGTGTTCAGATTCTTCCTACATTGCATAGTATCTTGTCAGAGAATCTTTCTACTTGAAATGATTTTTGCAAAGATAGAACATTTTACCTTGGTGCCTGCAAACCGAGGAATATGAAAGGAAGTGAAGTGGCCACATTAGCAGCTGTTTCTAAGACACTCTGGTCACCTGTCATATGTTTCGGTTACATAATAAAAGACCGATTAACCATCTTGAGGTTGGAAAGATAAAAGACCAAAAACAAAAATGGAAGGATTCGTACCGCGGATGCTGCAACAGATTGGCCTTAAGCATGGAGGTCTCTGTTGCCAAAAACGTCTGTAAAAGAGAAAACAAGTCAGGAATTGAAACCATTTCGAAAGCTGAGAATGTCACAAATTAATGTTAAGTAACTCACTCGATGAGCAGTCTCTGATTTGATTCCATGTCTGTGGATTTGGAGTCACTAACTTGAGTTGTCTTCTCAAATGAGAAGGGCGAATGAGACGTGACATGAACCCCATGGATACCCTCAAGGGCATTATTGCTTGACTTTGATACATTTTGGAGGCTCATGAAATCTTCCTGAAACCACACAGAACCAAAATCTCTCTATACGATACCAGAACAATCCAACTACTTTGTTGCCTCTTTTGTTCTCTTCTGTTCTGATGACAAAACAAAAATATTCATAAATTAAACTATAATTATTGGGCATACATGTGTTCGCCAGAGAGAAATTGGTTTCAAAGTCAACACCTAAAATTTGATTGCTCAATTCTCAATGACCAGAAAATTGTATCTGTTTTTTTTTTTAATTGCGTATGAATTTTATGTGAATAATGGACTTGAGATATAAAAAATGCAGAACAAATGATCCACGATAGAGACTAATGAATACAGAATAACCAAAGCATATAACGTTTTGAACAAATTTTAAAGGCAAAGCTAAGAAGAAGCAACGAAATGTTATATGCTAAATAGAAACATGCAAAATTATAGAGAGAGATCTAACCTGAAGGAATAGCCGTAAAAACTCTATAAGAATTGTTGAAGAAGAAATGCTATAAAGAGGGAGAGATAGAGAAGGAACAAGTAGAAGCAGAGAGAATCAGAGTCAGAGAGATGCGAATGACTCACGGAATCTTCTTCCTTAACTCTCTCTACTCCAACGGCATATTCTCTTCATCAATTTTCTTGATGCACTTACCCAAACCGGTTTATATACCGGTTTGATTTTGATCCGAAACAAGAACGTATCTCAGAGACAGCGTCATGCATGGTTTATAGGTGTGGGCTGAATATGGGCTAAGCCCAACGTTTAGTGTGTAAGTGTAACTGTGTTGTAAATACATTTGTCTTCTAAAATTTCCTCTTTGGGATGGTGAAAACTGAAAAGTGAAAACATTGAGTACTTTGTAGCTTTTAGAACAGATATTGGTTTTGTTTTTGATATTTCTTTTTTTAACCAATTCAAAATTTTCATAAAGAGTGATAAACAAAACAAGATCTGATCTTCTTATTTTTTTTACATATCTCTGCATTTTTAGTAATTGGATTTTTTTTTCTGCATTTTGAATAAAAAATAATAATTTTGGCTTTCAATGGTAGTCAATTTGTTCAATGACAAGATTTGAGAGGAAATTTAGTTAATGAAAATTAATTAAAAATAAAAAAAAAAATTAAATAACTGAAAATATTAAAAAGGAATATTTAATCATTCTTGAATTTTTCCTTCGTTTAATTATTATGGAAAACATATAAATTTTTGTAACATGTTTTGTTTTCGTGTGGCGTCATATATAGTGTGGACGTGTAATTTATCATATTGCGTCCTAATATAATAAATTAGAATCTCATAGTCTCATGTAACCATTTTTTTTTTTTATAGACCCGATCGGTTGATCCGGTTAGCGTTGGAGGAAACATACTGAACTGTTATCATGTGAACTCGTCGTCAACACTTAGGTGTTGGACTACCATACTGTCTAACCCCGAGTTTGAAATGCTTTCTGATTAATGCCCGTATGCAGTTAGCCTAATCATGGATACCATGTGAATTTTGGTCCAAACATAAATTTCCCAGACAAATGTGAATTTTATTTTCAGGATGAATCGAACGTAGGTTACTTCCTTCCAACATTTCTCCAATTCTCTCTTACCACTAGGCCACAGCGGTGATCTCCTCATATAACAAAATTAACATGAAAATTACGCTTCCTGATACACTTACCATTTTTATAACTACTTTCTCGAATTTTGTCACGATGTTAATCTCTAGTTGATAAGCATTATTACATTGGTGTAGTGTAATGTACAATAGTAAATTGTCGAGCCAACCAAAGTCAGCAAACACGTGTTATGCTTATCAAGAAACTGTTACGTAAGACGGCACCTACCTCTTTTTTTTTTGTTTTTTTCTCTCTTCTTTTTGTTTTACTCTATGCTTTTTGTTATGGTAAAGATAGATAACACAAGAGCCAGCGTCATTGACTAGGGTATCGTAAAGCCATGCCTGGTGTCCAGACTCTCGAACTGGAGATCCAAGTGAACATGACCGCTGAGAGATTCTTCAAGACTTTCAAAAAGAAAGAAGGAAATTTCACGGACAAGACAGAGGCAGTTTCTGTTCATCGTGAAGATCCCACATCCAACTCCTCTATTCAGATCTGGAATTTCATCGTTGGTATGTACTATTAACTTAGTTGTCTTTATTTTTCTAGTTCTTGACTTCCATCGATTATTTTGGATTTATTATAGATGGAAAGATGGAGCAGATCAAAGAGAAGATAGAGGTAGACGAAGAGAACAAGTCGGTATCTTTCGTAGCTCTTGAAGGAGATGTGTTGAAGCAATATAAGAGCTATAAGATAACACTTGACGTTGTTCCTAAAGGTGATCAAGTTTGTATTGCCAAGTGGACATGGGAATACGAGAAGCTAAACGACGACGTTCCTCCCCCTACCAGATACACTGCGTTCGTTGCAGATTACACACGCGACCTCGAGACTAGATTGTTGTTTGAATCATGATCATATCATTAATGTCTCTGAGTTCCTTGTTATATAAATCAGATCTTGTTATGCAAAAAAAATAAAATAAAATACACAGCCTGTTCTTCAATAGAAAAAATTATCAATTTTAGTTATTATTTTGTCCTATAGAACTATATCCGGTGTCCATAGAAATGATGACATGAAACAAATCGCATTAACTAATATGAAATATTTTACTCACTGAATAGATCTAATAGCGTTCAAACTACTTATTCCAATTGTTGTAATTTTACAAATTGCATAGGCCTACCATAGTACCATTGCATACTTAAAAGTTTACACAATTTGAAAATAAAAAAAAGAGTTCAGGAAAGATATATTTTTCAAAAACATCATGACAAAATTTATTGGATAACTTTATTTTATAATTTATATAATATTATATGTATATTATTGATGAATTACTTATGAGGAATATAAATTCCTCAAGCTAAGTAAGCATAAATTGCACCGAATTCCCTAAAAGAGAAAATTGACATGAGAAAGGCAATTTCCCTTTGAATAATATACATTCCCCCTCCCCACCTCAATTTTAGGTGGGTTCCCTTGTTCATAAATGTTTTCATTTTCGCTATAATTTTATACATAGTTTCTATTAGTGAATTTTACATGCAAAAGTTTCCACGTAAAAAATTTGGTCACTTTCACTTATATCATTAGTGGATATATAATATATATTTCTCAATTGTTTTCATTTTCGCTATAAAATCTACATACTTTCTATTATTGACTTTTACATGCAAAAAATTTCTACGTAAGTTGTTACTTTCACTTGCATCATTAGTTGAATTACTCATCCAATCCGTACAATGATTTGTTTAGAGTTATTAGATAAATACACCACATGATGCCACCAAAATCGATAAATGGATGCTGTGTTATGATATGGGAATAGTAACTATACGAGAAGTTATTTCATTTGCAGATTCTACCTGCGCGGCTTCAAGACAGCGTACATTAATTGTCTCGAAATACGATATTGGTCTTAGACCATCTTGTCAGCAGTCTCTTAGATGAATCTTAGGTATTAAGATATATTTAATTAAATGGCAAATGGTGATTATTGTTAAAAAACGTCTCTTACTTAAAAGACAAAAATTTCTGTAAGAGACGGACGCGTGTCGCTTTTATATTGGACAAAGAAGAAATTTGCTCTGTGTTTCTCTCTCTTCCTCTTCTCTCTCTCTTTTACGTGTTTCTCTACCAAAGTGAAATCAGAGGCGATTTGCCTCAAATCAAAAGCAATCGGAGGAGTCTCCGATGTTTATGACCTCCGGCCGTCGTTCCGCCGTTATCTCATCATCTCCACCGACGTCGGTTGTCCTCGGAGACTTTGGTACATCTAATCGGCGAGTTAATGCATTCGAAATCGGAGAGTTTTTTCACCAGATCTTCGAGTTTCGTTCAACAAATCGGAGTTAATCCTTCACCAATCGGTTTGTCTTAGTAGGAATCTCTCTCTGATTGCATGAATTGATGTTATTTGAGTGTTTTGCATCTGTCTTGATGATTGTTTCGATTAATACTTTGTGGGATCTTAATCTCAATCCCAACGAACATTGGCAATCCCTCGAAGTAGCTCACCGCACCGTGTTCGGGTAATAATAGTTGCCATTCGTAGTTTGATTCGTGGGGATTATTGTGGATTCTATGCTGCGGAGTGTTATTAGTTTTGTCATGTAATTTGACTGTTAAGTTCGATGAATCATTATTATTTATCACATAGTAGAAGCCATAATTGTGGCTAATTCGTAAGAGTCGGCGATTTCAGCTATGATTGTTGTTTTAATATTGTTTCCTAGGTTGATCATAGTGTGAATGGTCATTTGACATGAGATGGATATACTCAGTTATTAAGTTTTCTAAAATATAATTTCATTTTTAAATTAATATTTTTTTTCCTAAAAACCACAAATTAAGAACCTACCATTACCATTGGAGACACATAAAAACTAAAAACAAAAATACAATCTCTTAACTCTAAATTTTACAATTTTAATACTAAACTATCGTTAAGAGTCAATCTTAAGAGACTACAAATAATGTTGCTCTTATACTCTTATGAACGGGTTTACTCTTGTCGTTGGTATATGGAAGTGGTCGATAATAGTAGCCTATAGCAATCTTGAAACACACCTTTTTTTGTGGACACACCTCGTTGAATCGATTCCCACAACTGACTACAAGAATATTATAGATGTTATCAGTTAGTTGGTCTGATTCCTTCCCTTTCGTAAGGGACCATATATATTCCAACATTCGGCAACTCTGTTGTTTTAGAATGACTCCTGCCACATATTGCTTATTCTTTCCTCTATAAAAGTGGCTATGAATTTCCAAAGAGACTCACCTACTCACTCTCATAAAAACCTAGAGACACAAAACATCCGTATAAAAAAAATGGCACAAGCTATGCGTCAGTCTTCTCTGCAAGGGGAGCTTGAGGTAGATGTTGAGATCAAAGCATCTGCAAAGAAGTTCCATCAGATGCTCTCTAGAAGACCACAAGATATTGCAAAAGCCACTCCTGACATCCAAGGATGTGCTTTGCATGAGGGAGAGTTTGGCAAAGTTGGCAGTGTCATTTTCTGGAACTATGTTAATTGGTAAGCACAAACATTTATTTAAATATATATTTCTGAAACAGCATAAAAGATTTGATTGGTTAACCCTTCTTTTTGGGTGCAGATGGGCAGCCAAAGGTGGGGAAGGAGAGGATCGAGGCAGTGGATCATGAGAAGAATTTGATAGCGCTCAGGGTAGTAGATGGAGATACATACGAGAGCGTTTACAAGTCATTTTTAAGGCCAATCGATTACAAACAGTAAACAAAAGAAGGATAAACTCTTGATAACACACGTGTCGAACACAAAGACACATGGAGTAGGACGTGTTGCAAGAGAAACGAGAAAACTTTTCCGTCTTCTTAAGTTATTTGATACATTTTCTCGTTCGCTTAATTTTTTTTTTTGTTATTATTTCCTTTTTTTCTGTTGACAAAAAAAAAACATTTCCTTTTTTTTTTCTAAAAAAATGTGTTGTTAAAGTTGTATTTTCTTGTTTTATATTACTTCCTTTTTTTTTTTTTTTGATATATCATTTTTGGAGAGTTATAAAATCTATCTTCTCTTTTTATTATTTTTAATAATTTTCCTTTTATAATTTTTAACCTCCTTTGTTATGTGGGAGACATACTTAATTTTGAAAATATTTTATATAAATAAATTATTAATATTTTTTGGAAATAATTTTCTAAGTTAAAGTTTTAGATGATTAATCATATTAAATACATATAGGTTTTTTTCTTAAAATTCTAAGTAATTACTTAATGCAAAATTATCAGAACTATTAAATTTAGGAGTGGACAAAAAAATGTAACTAAAAATTTGATTTAAAGTAAATCAAAATTCCATGATTATGCTCGATTTTGCTTAAATCTTAAAATCCGTTTGGCTAGGCATTACTAATAGAAGAATGGTTTAACTCTAGCTTGTCGGCATAATGATATTACCGGTAGACTGAAAACTTTGTCGCCTTGTTCGTAGAATAATTCCGATAAAATTTATCCTTGTATCGCTGCCGGATTCTTCATACACATAGTCAATTCATAGGTAAGCATGGAAATAACTAAATGATGGTAAATTTGAATTTTGATACTCATGAGTAGTTTTATAAGTAAAAAAAAAAAGCTACTAATCACATTCGAAAAAAGAAACCTCCACTATTATCTTTGACTTGTAAAAAAATACTACTTAGCTATATGTGAAGCGCTTGAAATAACATAGCAATCCCTTGTGAATTCAACTCCTCAGGATGATCTATGCCAAACTGTGGTTGCACACAAAAATACCATATTAAAAAAGAAACTAAGAACATCATAGCAGCTGCAAAACAGTGGATGCTTTTATAGTGCATTTGATGCATCATAGGCACACAAATCTCTGTGTCACGCACTTGAGGTTTAAGAGAATGAAACGAGGCCGTTGCTGGAGTAGCAGGCAAAAAGTGAGTAAACTCCGCAAGCAAATCCGAATGATCCCGAAACAAGATAGCAACCTGAGATAATTAACAGTGTAAAACTAAGTAAAATATTAGCAATAAAAAAAAATGCTTAGTATCAATCAATGAGCCTACCTCATCGTAGACCTCTTTGATGGACTTTCTCTCCTTTCTGTAGAGGTTTAAAATGTCTAAAAATGATTTGTATGAACGACCGCCTTGAAACCTAGTCTGCAAATGAATGAGAATATTAAGGAGAGTAGGAAAGGGAAAATCAATATTTTCCTTAGACAGTTTAATTAGCTCATAATGTAACTACGTACATTAATCTTGTTAACAAAACCAATTGCGTCCATGAACTCATTGCATTTCTTTAGTGGAGGTTGTCCATCCTCGGGTTGGAGTGTGATCACATAACCTTTGGCAAGAAGGCATTGAAACCCAATATTAACTCTTGGTGTCCTTTGAAAAGGACTTTTACCTTTCTATGACACCAGCTGTATCAACTCTACAACGCAAAAACAAAAAAAGAACAATTTGGAAATCAGTTCTCAGAAACCATGTAGAATTATCCGGACCAAGACCAAAACCAAACATAAAAGAGACAAAATTATACCTCTGAGATTTAAAATCCTTCATGATCTCAAGAAATTCGTCATATTTTTCACGTACCCTGAATTTTTTTTTTTTGACGGCTTTAAGGTATGCAAGAGCGTCATTTGTAGTTGGCTTCTGTGCACTTGCTCCTCCAACCATGGTTTGAAGTTTAGGAAAGCTTTATTGTCCAAAGAGAGGCAGCCAAAAAAAAGGGTGAAACTCTATTAGAATCAAACAAAATTATATTAAGTCTTGTAACATCTCAAAAGACGGTACAAGGTTTTTCAAAAAATGATTAATGGATATCCTTCGACAACCCCAAAGTCTTAACAACAAAATAATTCTTTCCTCAAGGACCATTATTAGTTATCAATCAACTTTATTCGAGGAAAAAATTTAGCATCAAATTGATGGGATTAAGAGATAATATTAGTCTTATTCCTCTATTTATGGACCACATGACACATAAACTACACTTGTGAAGTAGTCAATTCAAACACAGGGCAAACCAATCAAATACCGGATCTTAATCTCATTCTTAACCAAAGATAGAAGAACTCAGTTCACCAATTAAAAGCTTGCCATAGTATTCAGTCTGATGGGATCTATAGATTAGCTTAACATTTCTATTGAGAACAACACAAAACCTCCCAAGCTGTCTTTATTCAGAATGGGGTATTAGTTGGATAGCTTCAGGATTAGGAGCACCCATGCTAACCAACAAACCAAGGTTGGACCCGACCCTTATGGGTGAGACTATATAAGCTAATGGTGGAAGTGGAACTAAACAAGAGATAGGCAATGTCTCAATGGTTGATGTTAAGTACTCTTGGCTCCCAAAAAAGTGTGAGAAATGTGGTCACCTAGGATACAAGGAAACTAGATGAATCCTTCTCCGCCAATCTATCCCTTAGAAGTCGTTGCACCTGTTAATGTTGTATGTCCCAGCTAATTCCACTCACTAGACGTTGAGATGGATTTTGTCTCTGCTTTAACTCACTCATCTCCTCTATCCGAGGAGGAACCATCAATACCAAGTGTCATCGTACCTGGCTTCTCTCTCTCTCTCTACTGCGTTAGTAAACGCCGACTCTACTCCAACTACTTTAGCCTATTCAAAGGCTGCACCAACTGAAGCTTTCAATGGTTAGTACTCCTCCAACTATGGATACTCTTTTTACTCCTACCCAGCCTACGCAAAAAGTTCAAGAGAATCAATATAATGGACTACGGTTGGCAAGCGTGGTCGTGGTGGCTGTGCTAGTCGTGGTTAATCGACCTAATCCATTGACCATTGTTTTTTCTTTCTCTAATCTAGAATCAGAATCTACTTAATTGTATGTTGTTTTCTTTTCACTACATGACCTCATATATTTGTAATCGTTTTTTTCATTTAATTTGAAAACCCTTTTAACAAAAAGGTTCAAGAATCAAAGTTTATTAAACTTCATCGATCAGTCGGATTTGATAATTCATCACATATATGAAATTAATATATTCAACGAACTCAATTCGATATCATCCACGAATACAACTAGCAACAGATCTAGCAAAAGCAAACCTGACAGAGAATAAAAACTTGTAGTGGACATAACGAAAGTCACAAAAAAAAAAAAAAAGAAGAAGATCACATGTGTATAGATAGTTACCGAGTTTCGGAGACGAATGCAGAAGGCTAGCTTCACGATCACGAAACAGAAGAGACGAGTTTCTTAAAGAAATCTCTCGATGCTCGTGATCTCTTTAAATAGGGTTTTGTTTATGAATTATGATTCCACGGTTACGTAAGATTTTCCATATATTTTTCTTAAAGAAATCTCTCGATGCAATGTTCGTGATCTCTTTTTGGATTTGAAGCATTTTAATTAATTATTAAGTACTTCCTTTTTTGTCTTTTTCTAATATACTAACAATTAATTAAGTACATAACAAAACTAAATATATATGGAAAATATTCAAATCTCATTTCTTCTTGGTGAAAACTGAAAAGCAAAGATTTTAAACAAGTGCATGTCAGAATCATCGAACTAAACTAACACCTCTATAAAAGAAAACTATACACTCCGTTCTCGTTTACAAATACATCTCGTTACAATTCTAGTAGTAGTGATGCTGATGCTATAGGATCATTCTTTTCGAAAAATCTGAGAAAGTCGTTGATCAAATCTTCATGATAATAGAGAATATCAGTGACCTGCAAAGATATATAACAAATCAAACCAAGAGAACAAAAACAGAAAACACAAAATAGGTCACCAAGAACGAACATACCTCCTTGTGCACCTCTTTTACCGACATCTTTCCCTCTTTAAACATTCTCATTATCGCTTTAAATGACCCCACTACATGAGTATCAAGAGTACGAGACCTTGTCTGCAGATAGACGAATTTGTTGTAGTTAGCAAAAGAGGAATCAAAAGATTTGGTGTTTCTCTAGGATCATTTGTCAGTTTTAGCATTTCTGTACCTTAAGCTTGTTCATAAAATCCTCTGCATCAGCATGTTTCTTTTCAGTATCAGCAGACTTAGCGAGGTACTCAGCTTTCTTAGCCTCAGAAGGAATGACTATCTTAGCCTCAGCTGAAAGGAAGACATTGAAACCAAGAAGCAGATCATGATGATCTTTCAAGAGCTCCTTCACCTTTGCAATGACACCATCTCTACCGGGTCTACAAAAGAGACTATATCTTCCAGATATATCCACTTTCGACGGTCATGTATATTCTGAATGTATATATAACTATTTCACACTTAGTCCTTAGCTAAACTTAGACTAACAACAACACACTTCTATGGCTCTCTTCAGCATTGGAGAGGAGTAGCTTATGCTGATTCTGAAGAGGTTTATAACACTCAAAACCAACTTAATCAAATAGTCCGTGCTGACAGATGAATTAGTCGTCATATATAACACAGTTACTTTTGCTGGTCCTAGTTTAAACATTTCCCTCTTGCAGGCTAATCACAAGTCATCTGTCCCCATAGTTCTACAAGATTTTGTTCTGAGAACTAGTTTTATAAGGCTGATGTGGCAAATAAGTGTGGAAAGCCGGAAGGAAGTAGGACGCAGTGAGGACAATGTAGATGAAGAGAAGCAGGATCTCCATAAATATTGTTTTGTAGCTCGTGTCACCCCGTCGAGTCTAAGGAAAGATGTACTGGTAAAAGAGTTTGCTTCTGTATCAGATGTACCTCTCCTTAAAACCATAACTCTTAAGAACCTTTTTGCATCTAAATCATATACTCTCTGATAAACTTTGCAGACTCTTCCAAGAGCCTTTTCAAGGTCTAATGGTTTAATGAATCGTGAGTGCGAGATCATTTTATTGAATGAAGATGGGAAACCATGGACAACGTTGCTGAAATTCCACAAAACACATGGCCGTTTACCTCAGACGCGAAAATCGAAAAATGGCCAACGATTTAATGACTTTCAAACTTGTGCAATCAGGTACAAAACCTGTTCTCCAGTTGTGTTCATCCATGTACAACCGAGCTTCTTTTTCTTCTTCTTCCTCATATTCAACAAGCCAAGACAGATTCTTGACACCAACTCTCACACCTTACAATCTCAAGAAGTTTAAATTGGAATCTCATTAGACAAGAGCAGCCAAAGCAAAAATGGACACAAGGCATTTGGTTTTCACAAGCCACGCCAAAGTTCACTTGCTGCTGAAGAATGAGATTGGGAAAAGAGTGGAGAAAGTTCTGTGAAGCTAATGGAGTGAATAGTGGTGACTCCTTCAAGCTCAAGGAAGAAGACACAGCTACTCATCTACTTAAGTTTTTTTGGTACGCTACTCATCATCTACTTAAGTTCTGCACCAAAATCTGAAACTCTCTCTGAGTTCTTTTGCTGCTGTAATATCTGTTTGCAATGTATTTTGTTATTTGTTTTTTTAGCTGGCATGTAACGTGCAGTGCTTTAGCAGGTTGGGATGAACAAAGAAAATCAAATGCCTCAGTAATTCCTTGGAAGTTTGTTAGCATTGTAAAATTTTTGTTGATCTCATCAAAAGCTTCTTTGGGGCACCTCAGAGTCATCATCCGTAATTGAGAACCTTCCAACAAGATTTGGCTTCATCTCTGTTTCCCCTCTTCCCCTGCTTTTATAACCACTTTGGCTATTGGCTCACCAATCACAAGCATTCGGGCTAAAGAAAACATAGAAAAAGAAAAAAAACATGGACTCATCTATTCTACGAGACTACGACTGTTAGACTACTATAACGTAGTTGCTATATTAGCTTCTTATATTTTTTCTTACATTATTAACAACAAATATAATGTAAGAACAAATATAAGTCCCCTGTTCTAGTGCGACTATCGCCATAATAAGGTTTTACTGAGTGAGAGAACTTTTGACATATCAAAACGGCATGGCATGTCGTATCTTTGGCTCCTTAATTACGTCTGATAAAGTGGTCAAGTCCATTTCTCTTTTGGTATCTGCTCACTCTTCCTCAAATGTTCTTTGGCTTTAATTTTTTTTTTTTAAAAACATGTTTGAGGAAGTTGAGTTCATAAAGAAGGGAAGCTTGACTAGTGAAGAAGTCGAGGCTTTTGTTTCAGCGTTGCAAATAGCTGGAACAAAAGCTGGACAGAACAAGGGAGGTAGAGCACGTGAAACGTCTACGGACAAAACCGTTTCTCAACTTGAATCGATGGGAGTGAGAATCAACGGAGTTAACAAGCCTTGGGGATGATCATGTCGATGAGATATCATGGGACAATATTGCTGGATGTGATCAGCAAAAGCGGTAAGCTTTACTTAGATGCACATGTTTCTCTATAATTGAAGTCGCTATATATATTAGCTTCTTATCATCAGAGAGATAGATACAATATTGATGGCCCTTCATAGTCCTCAAGTACAGGATGAGTATGCGGTACACTGTCCAAATTTGAATCAAACCGACCCCGAGCTGTGCTGTTTGGGGGCCCACCAGGTTAGAACAAGAAGTTTATGATGATATAGTCCTGAAGCTGTCCATGACTTGCAGATAACATATCATTCCACCAGCAGTGATATAAATTTGGCAACGGTAGTAACACATGCCCTGACCTGAAAGAAAGCACAGCTGAGTTGTGCAGGAATATATCACTAATACCTCTGCGATCCTGGTGGAGCATTCGATGTGTCGATTTTATCCTGTCCAACTCCAAAAGCAAGTAGTGCTCTCGGGACTGAACATTTTCAGTCTGCGTTGCAAAAGAAGAACAAAACTAGCCGGTCCATGTACAGCTGAGAAAACAAAACAAGCATATATAGACTGAAGAGCGAGTCAGGACAATCTTGTGCCTCACTAAAAAAGTGTTGTCAAGGTACAAGAAAAGATCAAAAAAAGTTACCCGGGATGTATATAGCAAAATCCAGGCCCGCGTGTTCAATGAGCTTGGGTTAACGAATCTGGTCCTGATTCCTCTGGGACGCGTTGGGCTTCCTCGTATCCCTTTCAGATACCAGTTTGGGAAGTAAACTCTCTAGGGGGAAAGCCTCGGCATGACGAATACAGGCAGGAGATTTATAGTTGTAGAAAGACCAATACGCAATTTCACCAGATGTGTGTTCCCAATGGTGTTGGATAGATCACCAAAACAAAGGGTTAGAGTCTTCTTCTTTCAAAGAAGCAATGCAAAATGGTGACTTCCCTCATCACCATTTTTAGAGGGAAAAAACGAGATTACAGCCGGAAAGAGAGGTGGCGAAATCGTGCCGTGTGGAGTGTGGACTACAGCGCGACACGCCCGTCAAGCGCGAGTGGGGTGGCTATGTCCCTATAATTATGTTTTGACGAACCGGAACTTCTTTAATGGGGACTTTATAAATTCATAATTAAACGTTCTTTGATACTTAAGCTAGGTATGGTAAACAAATAAAAATCTCATCGTTTTTTAATTATTAGATTGAAATATTATATTTCAGAGGATTTCTAAATCAATTAAAAAAAAAAAAAGTTTTATCCAAACCTCCCGGAAACAGCCTCAAATAGATTTTCACGTGTACTTAGGAAACGAGTTAAAGTGTTGATAATATATATAGTTCAGGATTATTTTCTTTTTTAGTTTGTTGGAAAAGGACGATACAAATATCCAAGGACCTAACATGTCACAGTCCTAATTGACATTCTTAGTCTTACTAATATTGCAAACATAAATAAACCTCCACCAGAGTTTGTTTTTCGGTTTTGTGCAGAAAAACTTGGGACGACTAAGAGCCTAAAATACGCGGGGGTACGGGTAGGGTAATCCACGGCGGCTGCGATTCCATAAAAAAACAAAAGAGAAACAATGCGTTGCGTTAGGGCCTTGTCAAGAGAAACCAGTCATTGATAAGATCAGACAATAATCAAAATGTAATTGCAGCAGTGATATTTACCACGCAAATTCGTTTTTCACTCCCCGTTTCAACTGCTATCTTGCTTAAAGCGGTTAGCATGAGTACGAATTGAGGTCCACATTCCTGCCAAATCAATAACAAGAATGCTACATACATCTCCAACACATGATAAGCTCAGCAAAAAGTATAAGATATATATGGCAAAGTACCCAACCTTTTTGGTAACCTTCATAACCCTTGTTCCGTCTCCTACACGGGAGACTTCCTCAGCGTGGTTCCTGACCACGAGAGTGCATAAATAAATATATATATATATATATAAGTTAAAAAGATTGATTAATTTTATTTTATTTCTAGTCAGACAAAAAAAAAAAAAGAGAAGAAAAAGTGGTTACCAATAATGTCGGTAATGGATACAACCCTTTTGGTTCTGGAAAAATGCAATGTTCCTTCGACAGGCACCATTCCTTGGACCGGAATCAGTAACCTTGGGGAAGAGTGATTGGATCAATCTGAAAATAAAAACAAGTAAATTACAAGTGAGATACAAATAAAGTTTTGTGTAACTAGCTAGCTAGCTAGTGTGAAATAGTTTTGAACCTGGCTGCGCCAACACTGGCCGGAGATGTAAATAATCCCATATTAACCTCAGGATAGAGACGTATGGGGGGACTTGCTTGATCCTGCAAGAAAAATTGACTATGAGCCAGATTTGGAGTAATTACATATTTGGACCAATTAGGAAGTGCATACAAAGAGAAAGGCTAGTACCGGTATATCCTCCCGTGGGATGAGATTAAGAACACTGAACTCAGCGGCAGCACCATTCAACAAGCTTACGATACGTATTTCATCTGCAAACCAAACAAGAAAGCAAAAATATATATGATCCTAGAGGTATATATAACATCCAGCAAGAACGGAACGTCAGAGTTTAACCACGTACCATATCCATCACTGTTTGTCCGAGCGAGAACGAGAGATGTACAAGCCCTCTCTTTTGCTATTCCTATGAGCTGCAACGCAACGATTCATATATAAACAAAACCCGTTTAGAGAAAAAAAAAAAAAAAAAAAAAACTTTGAAGCAATTATGTATAACCTCTTTTAGTGAGTTGCTAAACCCCCACTTCCACTTAATGTATGTAGAGTTCGGGAACACTGAGAGCATCTCCTTTGCAATCAAAGCTCCCCTCTGAGGAAATCGCTGACAAAGAAGAGAAATTTAACAACCTTCTGTAACTATAACAAGATATATATACAACCACTTTGGGTCTGGGTCTTACACGATATCGTAGGACACCATAATTAGTGATCAAGGTCTTAGGTTTGATTTCACCACTCAGGACCCTATCAATTCCCTCCGGTTCAAATTCTGCCCAAAGCTGCAAAATCGCAAATCAGGCGTAAATAAATAAACAGATAATCATTCATGCAATTAGCATACCTCATCATCATCGAGACTCGTAATCTCCCGGCGCATCTTACTCTGTACCAACTCCTCTGTCTTGGCCGTTTCCATCATCATGTCCATTCCGTGCGGCTGCCTGAGTTTCTTTTGCGATATTTTCTCTCTAGGTTTTTCACATTTTATCCCTATTATTATGGGCCCAATATGGGCCGATTATATTAGTTTAGTTCGAGCTCATTTCTTCTTATATTTGGGTTTTTACAATTTGAAAGTATAGATACTATATGTTAACCCGCGGTACACCGCGGGTCTATATTTTTATTAAATAAAAAAATTGAATATTTTTTTAAGATGATTTATAAATATATGCTACTGTATAGTACACCTTGGGACAATATTTTATAACTAATAATTAGAAATTTTAAATTGTATTTATTTTATTAATATTGTTTGTCTTGTTTTGTTTAGTGTTTAAGATTGTATAATTGTATTTAGATTGTTAATTCTAGGATTTTACCCGTAGTATATCATCTCATATTAATATCGACTAAAACCCGTCTCACCATATAACTCTGTCCCGTGAAATTAAACGTCATTTTGTCATTTTATTATAAAGTTCAAATATTTATAATACTTGAAACTTCATAAAAGTTTAATATCAACCCAAACTTCATAATTATATTTTGATTGTTATATTTAGGATTTCACCCGTAGTATACCGTCTCGTATTAATATTTTTTATAAATATTTATAATATTTAAACTTCTTATAAATTCGTATAAAGTTCAAATATTTATAATAGTTGAAACTTCATAAAAGTTTTAATATCGACCCAAACTTCATAATTGTATTTTGATTGTTATATTTAGGATTTCACCCGTAGTATACTGTCCTGTATTAATATCTTTTATAAATATTTATAATATTTAAACTTTTTATAAATTCTTCTAAAAATTCAAATATTTATAATATTTGAAACTTCATAAAAGTTTTAATATTATACATATTTAAAACGTTTAATAAAGTTAAACTTTTTCTAAGTAAATTCATAAAATTATTATATAAATGTGATCAAATTACATATATATTTTGTTTTTAAAACATTCCTATTGTTGAGCCTTGCTTAAGTAGTACACCACATTACTCTTTCTCCAATAATACTTTCACGCTTAAAAAATGAGATCAAATCAAAAGAGGATTGCTATAAACTTCTACTTTCCTGCAAGAAAAAATAAACAAATTAAATTAAGAATTATATGGGTGAAATTAAATAAACAAATCAAATTAAATATTGTTACGATCTATTTTAAGTAATCTATATTTATGTCAATGAATAAAAATTAATTATTTGCTAAACTGAGTAGAAATTGATTTTCAAATTATTATTCTTTCCAAAATCTTAACTAAAGATTTGAGCATTAAACGTTTTTAAAATGTATTTATAGTAAGTGATTAATTTTTCCTAAAATTTCTATAACAGTTGTATAAAATTCAGTTAGTTGTTTAGGCAAATAATTAATGGATTAAGATCAACGTGATTATTGCTAATTGATCTGTTAAAAAGAAATGTTAGTGTTTTATGTAAAGTTAATATGAAAAGATTTAAAATGATTTTTGTGATTTTGTTTTGTTTTTAGTTTGGATTTTAATCCAACCACTCTTTCTTTGAATTGTTTAAAAGATTATATAGTAGAATTTAAAGGAACAATAGATGAGATAAGATATGTGATATCAATTAGTTTAGATTGTGAATATATTCGAAATCAATTAGAGAATAAAGTTATTAAGTTACGATTAATGTGGCAATTAGTTTAGGTAATAATAACAAACTGAATTCTGCGAATGGTAAATGCTAAGTATCCGGAGATGATTAATATGGAAATAGTATAAGAATATGTAAATGAATTAAAGACAACATGACTTTATTTATCAGTTTGAAATTAAGACAACATCCCTAAAATTGCTTATCCAATATCCGAATAGACTAAAACCGGATCAAACCCGGATCCAAAAGAATTAAAGCAAAAATGTACTATAAAAATGTATATGTAGATACCTATTTTTCTTTTTCTTTTCTAATAACAAGCAATATTTCCGATGAAAGCATGACCAAACTGAATACATAAATTTTAAATTAAAACTAAATTAAAATGAGAACGAATCAACGGTATGTTATCGAATTTTTTTGCCACCATGCCATCACTATTTGGTTGAACATTTACATATATGTTACTACAATAACAATTTTAATATAGTTGATAATCTATTTGTAAGAATATTTTAGATTCCAAAATTGAATAACTTTTCCTAGAAATTAGGTCGCAATTTATGGAACAAGAGTGGAAATACTTAATCAGTTGTTTAATTTTTTTTTTCGCTTTATTTTGGAGGGTCTCAGTGTTATGACTTATGCGGTGGCATCTTTTAACTCACCCCTCCTTCGCTTAGTGAAGTGAGAAATAATTGGGGCTTTATTAGTGACCTACCCAAGTAGGCCTGGGCAAAAAACCCGGATCCGATACCCGAACCGATACCCGGACCGAAAAAATCGGGTTGGGACGGGTTAGGGTATTAGAAAATTACTTCATTGGGTAGAGTATTGGATTACCCGTGGGTATCGGGTCGGGTCGGGGATTACCCGTTACCCATTTAGGGTACCCACAAACCCGAAGAAATACACATGTTTATATATGTATATAGATAATTAGATATATAGTCTTATGTAGTTATATACTTATATGTATGTCATAGGTTTTAGGTTTTGTGACTTTTGACATTTGAATTTATATATGTATATAGATAATTAGATATATAGTCTTATATAGTTATATACTTATATATATGCAATACAAATTTGTTTATATATGTATATAGATAATTAGAATCTACTCTTAACACTTAAGAGTGAAATAGTCATCTTTGTTATTTAATTATTATCGTTAACAGTTTTTCTAGCTGTATCAGATTATATATGCAATTGAGTTTAGATCATTTCACACTCTTTAGGTTGGCATGGCGACAAATATTCCTCCTCATAATCTTGGAGAGTTGGTCAATGTGCTTTGCGCTTTGATCCATAATCCAGAAGCCACGGTACCAAAGCTACCTCTTCTCCGCTTTGCTTTAGTGTGATTGTCAATATTGTGGGATCTTTTGTCTAACATAAAAACTTCCCTGCTTTATAAGTAGACATGACTATAAAACTCATATGATGCTACTTGCTTCTTTGTCCCATCAGCTGCAAGAACTACTTGAATACATGCCGCCTGCACCTGATTTTCCAACTGGAGGAACAATAATGGGAAACCTTGTGTTAGTCTTTTTTTTTTTTTTTGGTAAGAACCTTGGGTTAGTCTTTACTCATCTCCTTTGTTGAGTCTATTTGTAATAAATTCTCTTATATGCGTACTCCGCCTTTCTGATTTAATTTCGTCCAGTTTTTCATATCTCTTTTAGAACATGCTATGCTCTCTAGGTGATAAATATAAGGACTCGCAAGCCAATATGTAGACTTTGTAAAATAAATAACTATGGATATAGAGAAAGTTGTGGTAAACCAGGTTCCACCTGTATCAGGTCTATAAATTTAAGTAGTACGATTTTACTTGCTCGTGCAGCATGAGCTGAAACCGGTTTTGGCTAGAAGAGCCGAGCATTACTTCTCGGAGAACATGCGGGTTACTAAAGGCAAATGCGAATTCTTATATATAGAAGCCTCGTTATGTGCATAAATGATTCACTGAGTCCTCTATGATGGCTTTAAGGACTTGTATGAATATTTGTGATACTTAAATTTCAGGCAATCTTGAAGAATTTGGAAATCTTATTTCAGCGTCCGGCTTGAGTTCTATTGAGAATTACGAATGCGGTACAGTCTCTTTCCTTCCTTGACTCCGGATGCAAGATATGCTAAAGTGAAAACAGATGACAAGTCTGCTTTCACAGAAATTACTTTCTCTCTCTATCTCTTATATTCACCATTTTGGTGAAGGTGCGGAGCCACTGATTCAGATATACAAGATTCTTCTCAAGGCACCTGGTGTATACGGAGCTCGGTTCAGTGGAGCAGGCTTTAGGGGATGTTTGTAGATGCAGCAAAAGCTGAGGAAGCTGCTTCATATGTGAAGGATGAATATGAAAAGGCACAACCCGAGTTTGCCAAGAAACTGGATGGAGGAAAACCTGTTCTCATCAGGTGACTCTGCTCGCGTTCTCTGATCAAACCTGGAGTTTTGGTTTCTCTTCGATAAGCCAACTTGAGCCTAGATTTCTGCCTCTTGAACGCTCTCTCATGCTCTTTATTGATTCTTGTTTGTTCATGCTCTTTTTTTTTTCTCTGTGAGAAATTCTCTGGTCTCTCTGGTCAGAGTTAGAAATGGTTAATTGATTGATACGTTTCTATTGTTACTAAGACGTTGGTAATACATAATGTAAATCATCCATCTTTTTTTCCTCTTTGGGATTTCTTTAGAGGTTTTTCCGAATTTAGGCTAACCGTTTTTAGGTGAATAGAGAAATTTCAAACTTTGGGGTAATACATACTGTTCTAAGGATGGTCTAATTATGTTATTAACGTGGTGGTTACATAATTACTGAAATTTGACATAATGAGATTATTCTATCGCCAGCTGATGCTGGGAGCGAAAAAAAAAAGTTAATTTCAGATGGTGATATCGCAAAATTCGTTGGTGAAATAAACCCAAACGCGTTTTCCCGAGGTCTTGGACCTTCTTCTTCATCTTTTCCACAATTTACTTATTAAATCTGAAAAGAGTACCAAGGGTGAGAGAGACTGGTAAAAGTGGTGACAGTGGGTGGATAATTAATGAGGGAGCATCGCGTGTGAGAACAACAATATCTTCGTCAATATCCATATCCATATCTATATCCTACTCTACTCTCTGTATCTGCGCGTGGTGTGGTGTGTAGTCGTACCTCCCACGTGATTTTTGTTTTTGCTTAAACTTGATCCTAATTTTTTCCTCTTTTACGTAAATTTGATCTCAATTATACCCGAAGATGTAATATCTACTTCTGCTACGATTTAAATAAAGAAGAAGATAATTTCAATTTTGATTATGGCAGACAATTTTAAAAATTGGCCCGTAAGTAACAGAAGTTTTTAAAATAATTTACAAGAATGGATCTGGATCAGTTAGATCGACCGAGGTGAGCTATGACATAATTTGTTACGATGCATTGTCTTTTGTTTTTAAATAACTAAGTACTGACTTATTTTTAGGTCATTATTTATATATAATAAATTATCTTTTACTTCAATTATTATCTACTAAAAAATCAAGTTAGTCTATTAAATTTTTTAACAATACCAATAAAAGAAAATTTGTCTAGGAATTGTTGTCCATCTTATTTTATGGCAGCCCAAAATGCATATAAATTAATTAATTACACGCATATCATTATCACAACAACTACGGAGTATAAAGTAAAAAGACTGATAAAGAGGCTGCAAATAAAAAGAAGATAAGTATTACGAAAAAGAGATCACAATTTCTACAACTTATATTTTGAACATCAGTAAAAATAACAAATCAGACCTCGTAACCAATGCAAAGATGACGTAAGTTTGTCGTACTAGCATCTTTTATAAAACAAATACAGGGAGTTGAATGAAAAGATTTGTAAAACAAGATATATTTTTGAAACTGAAACTTTTTTATTGAATTTTTACAATGTGTGCAAGATAATACTTATACATATCGTAAAACAATCCAGAACAAGATATATGGTGTCGTCATGTAATATATTTAGAATCAAGGGTTTCCGATGAATTGGTTAGTTTGATACCTATTGATGCTTTAATTATATTCACTTTTTTTTTATTTTTGATCATGTGGTTCTTTTTTTTATCTTATTTTATTATAGATTGTTGTAGGCGAGAGATGTTCAAGTTCTTGAACTTTCCAAAGTTAAGGTTTAAGTGATTTGATTGTAGAGATCAGTTGCCGTTTTGTATAATATTTGGAGTCACTGTTAGAGATGGAGACTTTATTTTAATATCCCTCCTCAAACTACGGGTTTTACCCGAACCCGAACGGGTTACCCATATGCTCAGGTCTAGTTTTGCTTTTGAATTTAGGGAAATTGTTAAAAATGCCCCTTTTGGTGTGCCCCTTTTCAAAAATGCCCATTTTAGATGTCCATTTTCAAAAATGTCCCTTTTTAAATCTGAAATTTTTATAAAGTTTTATTAGGTTTATAAGGTACTTATGGATTGTAACTACTACTTGAAGACTCGATCCAAGTATTTATAAGGTTTTATAAGGTGTTTTTAAAGGTTTTACAAGTTATTTTAAAGGATTTTTAAGGTTTTTCAAAGGTTTTACAAGATATTTTAATGGTTTTTAAAAGTATTTAAAATATATTTATAAGGTATTTATAAAGTATTTATAAGATTTTAGATACATAGAAATGTAGTTTGTGTATGTTTTAATAATGTTACATACATATTTGGATAAATCTTATATTTTTAAGAGCATTTTTTATAAAGTTTTAAAGAAGGGACATTTTTGAAAAGTGGCATTGAAAAAGGGGCATTTTTGCAAAAGCCCCTTGAATTTATTGTTTTTTCCTTCCAAATTTGTTTAAAAAAAGAAAGCTACAAATCCGATAATGATTCGTTAATGGTTTTTGTAGTATATGAAAAAGGCATACATTTTGAAGCTTTGCGTAGCGTAGAGTGAATGTGAATGACAACACTTTGCATTCCCTGAAACAGTAGTAAGAAGTGATTTTGTGAATATGTTCACGATCTGAATTAAGATGGCTAAGAATGTGTCCAAGAGCCCTGGGAATGGAGTGAACTTTCATTGATTCAGAAACAGGATTACTAATTGCAGGAAGTTATTCTGCAAGTGACTAATATCGCCAAGGTACTAAACACCCATTTATTGATGTCCTTTCTTTACCATCTGAAGCTTTTAAAGAAGATTATATTGACGAGTCTCCGAGGGTTTGTTGAAGTAGAGGTCAAGTGCACGCCAAATCTCTTGAGATGTTGTGCAGTGAATGCAGGGCCGGCGCAGAGGCCAAGCAACTGAAGCCAGCGATTGGGGCCTCAAAATTTTAGGGCTTTTTAAACTAAAAATTTGTTAAGTTTTGGATATGCTGCAAAAGCTATAAATTTATTCTGTAGGGTTTAAAAAAATGATATGGACTTTTAAAGACAAACTAATTATCTTCAACACAAAATTTTTGATTTAGTAAAAAAACACTCTAAAACGCTGATTGAATATAAAAAAAAAGTGAGTCAATTTGTTTATTTTACAAGTGAAAAATCCTAGGTTTTGAAGTTAATTGTTAGTTTTGCTTAGGCCTGGGGAAAAAAACCGGACCCGAAACCCGGACCGAAAAAACCGGTTCGAGGCGGGTACGGGTAAGAGGAAATTACCTCATTGGATACAGTTTTTGAAAACCCGTGGGTATCGGGTCGGTCCGGGTAATACCCGTTACCCAAACAGGGTACCCGAATACCCGAATATATAATAAATATCAAAAATATTAATTATATATAGTTGTAATATAATTTAATTATCTAGAATTACAATTATAAATCTAAATATGTCAATTAACTTTAAACTTAAATACCCAAAACAACCAAACTATCCAAAAATTATTTGTTATGTTTGTCAAAATTTAGCAAAATGTATTCAAACTAGATGTTAACCCGCGGTACACCGCGGGCCTAAATATTATTTGATTTTTTTTTTAATTATTAATTTAAATATATTATGTGATATATATGAAATTTTAATTAATTTAAATGTATGTATTGAAAGTTAGAGTTGTATATATATCTATAAATGGTAGAATTAGTCAATTTCAATTTCATTTTAGTAAATATAGATTTATAAAAATTTCCAATACATCACTAACTTGTACTCAAATTATGCCATTTCCAATTTTATAAAATTACACACATAAGATATTGTATTTGATTTCATTTGAATATATTGAGTTTTGTAAAAATAAAATTTATAGTATTTATGAACATATATTTAGTGAAAAGAAATATAAGTTTTAAATGTGTGTATATGATCGAAAAAAAAAAACGGGAAGAAATGGGTACCGTTAACGGATTAAAGTGTGTCGGTGTCATAACGAAAAAACAATTCCGACTATCAAAGAACTTCAATTCACCATCCTCTGCCATCTTGAAACTTTGAATAAATCTTGGCAGTATGGAAAGATGTCGATTAATGTTTTGACCCGCGGTAATATTACCTAGATTTTGACTCGCGGTACACCGCAGGTCGATTAATTTTATAAAAACCATAATTTTAAAATATTAGTTGAGTATATCAATTTAACCTGAGAAAACAATTAACCCATTTGAGAGAAAAAAAAATCTGTCAAAACCCCTTTCATCTTCTTTCCTCTTCTTCGATTTCTGACGATTCTCTTTCTCATTCTTCACATTTCTTTTCGATGAGAGCCCCGATTTTCCTTATTCAAGATAAACTATCCAAAACCGAAGATCCATTAAGTCCATAGGAGCCGGCACCAACAAATTAGATCTGCTTGAAATTTTTTGTCTAAATTGAAAGGTAAAAATATATATTTGCTGTTACTGTAATAATCGATTTGATGCTTGATAACAAAATCTTAGCATTAAAAGTAATTAAAATTAATGAAAACAACAAACAATTGCTAAGATGCAGATCTTAATTAAGATGTTTTAGAGAAGCTAAGATGCGCTACGTGTCAATAGCTGAGTGGTTAAAAAAATGAGCAAAAGGAAAACAAAAAATGTCCCGTGTTTTTTTTCCTTCTCTTGTTGTCGTCTCTCTCTTTCTCGAGCTTTTCCCGACAAAAACCGAGTCATGCGAGATCACCATGATTCAAGTCGATCTGAACCATGCTCACTTCTCCAGGTTTTTCTTCTCCTCTTTGGTTGTAGAGTTGGTGATCGTAATCCCGATTCTAATCTTGTGATCTTACTTGAATTTGATGGATTCTGTGAAATTAATCTGATTTAGTTGTGAATTGACTTCAATTTTTAAAGAAATCTAGCGAGAGGTTATCCTCAATCGAAAATTCAGTTACTTAAGTTGAATCTCCCAATTTTAATGAGAAAGCTAGTCCAAAGTCATTAGATCATTCTCAATTTCACTTTGGTAATGGCAATTAGGGTTCATAGTTGTAGATGCTTAATTTATTGAGATTTGAGTTAGAAGTTCTGTTGTTTTTTTTGTATATGGTAGGTGGTTTCTCGGAATCGAAAGATGGCAAAGATCTGCCAGTACTTCTAATGGTCTCTTCAATACTTCACTATTGGTCTCTTCAATACTCCATGTTCCGTTATCTAACACGCTTTCACCTCTTGCTACAACAATTATTTTCATTGCATTATCTTCATCGAATTTTTCATCCAGAAGAAGATGATTATTGTAACTTGTTCGGTGCAGCATCTGATACTCTTGAGTAAGAACCCGATTGTAACATGGTGATGGTACTAATCCACTCTTTCTGATAAATTATTTATGAGAAATTTCTATAGATTACGCATCATCTCGTTATGATAAATACTTAGGTTTTGTGTATCTTTTGTTAGGTGTTTGTGAAGTCCTCCAAGTCCAAATACCAATCATGATTGTGAGAAGAGCTGTGAAGAACTCAACTGTTGTTCCTAGAGGTGGAGCTATAGATGTAAGTATCCTCCATTCATCGTGGTTCAGTATTTAAGTTTTGCACGTAGGGTTGAGCCATTCCTCCTGGTTGTAGATGGAGATAAGCAAGTACCTGAGGCAGCATTCAAGAACTATTGCTTGGAAGTCACAGCTTTTCATCAACTCTTATGCGAAGGCTCTGGAGACTGGAGGTACACTTCATGGTTGACTTGGATGTTTTAACTTTTGTGCCTCTTGATTTCACATATAAAAAAGAGAATATTACTTATTTCCATGTGGCCTGTTAGATCTAGGTCCTTTAACAATTTCTTTCACATCTTTCATGGTTGACTTGGATGACTTGGGATGGGCAAACAGGTCCATGGCTAATATCAATATCAAAACAAATGGTTGTTTGTCTGATACACATGGTTTAGCAAACAGGTCCATGACTAATATCAAAAGGCAAGAGTCATATATATACTCATACGTTGCCACTTCTCCTTGAAACAGGTCAGTATTACTTATTTCTTTAATAATCATATACTCATGAATATAGCTAATATATAGAGTTGGTTGATTCATTGAGTAGAAGTAAGAAATTACTTGAACCCTTTTAGTAAGTGATATGATTAGTAAAACATTATACTGCATATCCTGGCATTCAAATTAAAAATTTATCAGATGAATAGTCATTAATACTATACCAAATCTGAGTACACATATGAAGAAATATATCGTCTTTCTTTCCGCCTAAAAATGGTCCTTCTAATCGGCTCTAATTTCTTCATCTTTCTATTGGGTTAGTGTATACTTGTAGGCTAGGGGAGGATACTTTCTTATCATCTTAATTCTTCATTGCCTACACACAGTAAACTTCTTGCTCAAAACAATTTATAAACATATATTAGATCAATTCCAAATCCAACTAACACTGAAACAAAGCTTTCCTGAATCATGATGCAGATCTTAACTTGGATTCGTCAAGCGAGTTTGTTAAGCCGCAGGTCTCTGAAAAACTTTCTTTCTGGATGTAAAAGGTAAAATGATTCTTAATGAGCTGATATTTTTTATTTTTGCATATGTTGACTGGTTATATATAGAGGTTGTAGATGTTTAGGGTTAGCTTTGATTGTAAAGCGAGAAAATCTTGGTGATTAAGTTCAAAATCTTGAAAATCTCGCTATTTAAAATTTATGGTAACTATATAAAGCATATTCTTTAAATCCGATTGTTAAGGTAAATACTCTTTAAAAAATCGTTGATATGCATATTTTGGTAGAGAAGAAATAAGTATTATGTAGATTATTAGAAAGATTGTGTCGAGATTTTTGGAGAAAACTATTTAAATTGATGCTTATAATCGAGTTGTTAGAGATATGTAGAATAGGAAAATCGAAAATGATAATTTGGTAGTAATTAAATGCTATCAAATATCTCGGAGATTTTATTTTGGAAACTAATCGTGGACTAAGCAGAGATTTTTGCATGATTCGTAACGGAAAATCTTTAATGCTACTATTGATAAAAAGGAATAGAGCCGATTAATGTGGAAAGTAGTTAAGGAAATAAGATTAAAACGAATTGTATGTTTAATTTAGCCTTAAATGTCAGTTTTTATTACAACATCCCTAAAATTTCTTATCCAAGATCCGGATAGAGTTAAATCCGGATAAAACCTAGATCCAAATGAATTAATGCAAAAAACCCCTATAAAAATGTATATGTAGATATAACTAAATTTATTAAAATTTAACAAATTTTTAAGGTTTTTTCGGGTACCCGATATTTTACGTATAAAACCCGATATTTTACATATAAAATATCCGAACCGAACGGATACCCATATTTTTCGGGTATTTATAAGGTCTAAATTTTTTTACCTAAACCGACGCGAACCCGACGATACCCAAACCGGACCGGAACCGAATGTTTAGAAATACCCGAATGGGTCATAAATTCATTACACATTTAACCCGAACCCGAACGGGTTTTACCCGAACCCGAACGGGTTACCCATATGCCCAGGTCTAGTTTTGCTTTTGAATTTAGGGAAATTGTTAAAAATGCCCCTTTTGGTGTGCCCCTTTTCAAAAATGCCCATTTTCAAAAATGCCCCTTTTTAAATCTGAAATTTTTATAAAGTTTTATTAGGTTTATAAGGTACTTATGGATTGTAACTACTACTTGAAGACTCGATCCAAGTATTTATAAGGTTTTATAAGGTGTTTTTAAAGGTTTTACAAGTTATTTTAAAGGATTTTTAAGGTTTTTCAAAGGTTTTACAAGATATTTTAATGGTTTTTAAAAGTATTTAAAATATATTTATAAGGTATTTATAAAGTATTTATAAGATTTTAGATACATAGAAATGTAGTTTGTGTATGTTTTAATAATGTTACATACATATTTGGATAAATCTTATATTTTTAAGAGCATTTTTTATAAAGTTTTAAAGAAGGGACATTTTTGAAAAGTGGCATTGAAAAAGGGGCATTTTTGCAAAAGCCCCTTGAATTTATTGTTTTTTCCTTCCAAATTTGTTTAAAAAAAGAAAGCTACAAATCCGATAATGATTCGTTAATGGTTTTTGTAGTATATGAAAAAGGCATACATTTTGAAGCTTTGCGTAGCGTAGAGTGAATGTGAATGACAACACTTTGCATTCCCTGAAACAGTAGTAAGAAGTGATTTTGTGAATATGTTCACGATCTGAATTAAGATGGCTAAGAATGTGTCCAAGAGCCCTGGGAATGGAGTGAACTTTCATTGATTCAGAAACAGGATTACTAATTGCAGGAAGTTATTCTGCAAGTGACTGAATATCGCCAAGGTACTAAACACCCATTTATTGATGTCCTTTCTTTACCATCTGAAGCTTTTAAAGAAGATTATATTGACGAGTCTCCGAGGGTTTGTTGAAGTAGAGGTCAAGTGCACGCCAAATCTCTTGAGATGTTGTGCAGTGAATGTGAATGACAACACTTTGCATTCCCTCTAAGATAGAACCGAGAAGCCAAGACTGAATCACTTGATTAGTTTGGAATTAACCAAGCATCATAGTTAGAATTTGGGATTAGAGTTGAGGTATGTTGATATGGTGTAAACGTTGAGAACTGCTTTTTGATATTACCAGTAATGAAGCCAAGAAATTTGTGAAGGACTGAATTTGTGTTTCTAAAAATTAAAGTTATGGTTTATGAGCTTCATCGATGATAGAATTAACAATATTTAGAGATGGAGAGGTGACGAACATAAAAAAAAAATCTTTCATAATTCCAATACCATAAACTTTTTTTTATTAAAATAAGATATTTTGAAATTGAGACTTTCTTATTGAATTATTGCTTAAGTTTTTACAAATGAGAGAGAATATTTATATACATTATAAAACAATCCAGAACAAGAAAGATGGTATATATCATCATGTAATACATTCAGAATTAAGGGCTTCTCGGTAACTTAATATCCATTGATGCTTCAGTCGTATTCACTCACTTTTATTTTTCTTTTGTTGTATTGTAGGTAGGAAATATTAAAAGTTTTTGGGAATTCTAAAGTTAAGACTCAAATAACTTGATTATAGAGATGGGTCGTCATTTCTTCCAATATTTGGAATTGAATTTAAATTTCACCTTTTTGGGAAGTCTCTATGGCGGCTAGAGACTTATCAATAAGAAGTATCGTATTTGTTGTTAGAGGACTAAATGGACGTAATTAGAGGACGAACTCGAACGTGGAGAGAAAGTAATTAGAGGACTGAATGGTCATTTTGCATCGTAACATTTTCTCTATTGTTTTTTTTTAAGAATATGAAAATTTGCTGGACAAATAAGCTTTCCTCGAAAACCGAGAATATATTTCCCTTCTCCCCTCTCCCTTCTTCGTACAGTCTCCTTTTCACTCTCCATTTCTCTTTCTCTCTCTCTTTTTGTTTTTTCTGCGAAAAAACCTTTCCCTCCGTCGATGAGCTCTCTCCGTGGTTACGGTTGCAACGGTGGCAGCGGCTGTTGGCGTCCACCTGACCAGAGGCGAGAGTTGTCCACCGGTCCCTTCTCGTGGTGGCAACGGCAAACCTCCCGTCCCTGTGGAGGCTTATTCTCACGGATGCATTCAAGTGGAATCATAGAAATTCAATTGGTTTGTCCCTTTTCTTTCTAGTCAAATTTTGGGTACACTCTTCTTAGCAAAGGATGTTCTAACATAATTATTTGTCCCCAGAATTCTGGTGATAAATTGAAAGGGGTTCGTTGTTGCTCAACTGGAAAAGATGTATCTGTAACTAGATATTGTTAGCTTTGCATCATATGGTTGACATGATGTTAATTATTTTGTAGGACATGACATCAAGGTCTAAAAAATTTCATTCTAGGACATTTCTATCTAGGACATGGCTTTAAGGTTTTTTAATGCACCTTTTTAGTACTCATCAAATATGAATCCCACTGCAGGACAAGGAGTCCACTGCTGAAACTAAGCTTGTAGAAGCAAAGAAGCAATATGATCTGATGCTGGAAAGTAAACAGTTGGAATTATCAAGGCACTTGAAAGAATTATCACAGAGGAACGACCAGGTATATTCGAATCAATGTTTCCATATATATTAGCAAAAATTGTATTGTGAGGATTCACAATCATAATGCAATATGAAAAGACAATTTAATCTCTCTAATTTCCTTTTAGGCAATTAACGATATCAAGAGGAAGTATGATGTTGAGAAGCAGGAAATCATTAGTTCTGAAAAGGGCAAGGTATAATGACTAGAGTATCTTTTGTTGCAGTGTACTGAGCAATTGATGATGTCTTGGTGATGCTTTTTGTGGTTTTAACTCCAGGTTGAAGAGACTATCAAAGAGCTGTCTACGAAATATGATAAAGAACTCTCAGATTGCAAAGAAGAATCAAAGAGACAGCTGCTGACCATTCAAGAGGAACATGCTTCTCTGGTATGCACGGCATCTAGTCTTTATCTTTGAACTTATCTTTTAATTAACAGATCATACTGACTTTTCATACGTTGGAAATCATTTACGAACTTTTGGAGAAGGTTTCTTTAAGAATCTCTAAGCTAAAGCTATCACATCTTATCCTGTTACTGATTTCATGCATTGTTCCAATCATCCAATAGTATCAATGAGTGTTATTCGATTCGAAAGAAATCTGATGGTTCTGACCACCACCAAGCATCGAGGTGTATTATAGCTTATAATGATCAAACAGGGTTGAGTTGTTAACAATAGATGTTGAAATCAAGTATCTGTTTGGAAGTTTATTATTGACAGCATGTCAAGCCAAGTAAGAACTATATTGAAAATAGACTGATAAAAGCTGCATGTTCCCCAGATTCTCAGTATTCGGGAGGAGCATGAGAGTAAGGAGCTGAATCTCAAAGCCAAGTATGACCAGGAACTGAGACAAAATCAGATTCAGGCTGAAAGTGAACTGAAAGAGGTACCCACAGATATAACTTGATAGTTCAGAAAGATACTAAACTATAGAGCCTTCAGTATTCAAATAGTTTGTATATTTTATCCAGAGGATAACAGCTCTCAAGAGTGAGCATGATGTTCAGTTGAAAGCATTCAAGTGTCAGTATGAAGATGATTGCAAGAAGCTGCAAGAAGAATTAGATCTTCAAAGGAAAAAAGTAAGTGCTTCTTAATAAGATCCATTATAAGATGTTACTTTATGGGTTTAACTAATGGGCTAACCTTGCAGGAAGAGAAGCAAAGAGCTTTGGTGCAGTTACAGTGGAAGGTGATGAGTGACAATCCACCTGAAGAGCAAGAAGTAAACTCAAACAAGGTTAGAGTGGACTTCATTTTCCTACTTATCGTTATCTTTCCACTTAAAATATGTTCTTAAAATAACACTAACAGGGTAATAACTGGAAGATATGTATGTGTAACTAGATATTGTTAGCTTTGCATCGTATGGTTGACATGATGTTAATTATTTTGTAGAACTATTCAGTTTCCAAAGATTCTCGTTTTGGTGGTAGCAAAAGAAGAGAGCATATAAGAGTGAGGGCAGACAATGATGACGAACAAGCAGAGAATCAAATATATATTTTAATTCGTTTCTGCTTTGTCATGGCTACACATTATAAACACTTCCTCATGGATTAATCCCTCTCTTCAGCCTGAAGAGTTTGTTCTATTTTACTTGAACAAAGTCAGTCAGCCTCGTCGAGAATTGCATGTTCCGCTGTACCTCACTGAAGGCTTCACCATTGGTCATGCAGCATACTCTGAGATCTGTTTCAGCGGATTCAAATACGGTGAGCAGCCAGAGCCACAGCCGCTGCTACAGCCGCTGCTAGGGCCGCTGCTAGGGGAAGAACCACAAGTATCATGGCCATTTGACGTTGGGGTCACAGCCATGATACTGTCAAAGTTTGGCGGCAGTGCCCGAGTTGCAAGAGCAGAGCTTGTTTGCAAGTTATTCTACAGGGCGGGTCGTTCTGCATTGGCTTAAGAAGACGTCGATCTCAGTGAAACTCCCGCAGCAGAAGACTTAACCGCACTTATGTGCATGCGTCGTGCTGGTGGTCAGATGAGGTATGATTATTACCTAAAAGTATGATTTCTTTTGTGTCTGATTGATTATTAATTTGAATTTGAGTTTTCTTAATAGGTCCCTTGTGATCGGTTGCCCTAAGATACGCCCCAATTATCTATACACTACTAGGGTTTTAAAGCCATTTCAGTATCTTGGGTAGGTTGTTTCTTTTAATTTTTCTTTTTGGATACTATTTTTTTCTTTATGCTGATGTGTTAGCTAACAAATTGTTTTTTTACTTTTGTTCTTGTACAGGAAGCTTTTGACAAAACTGGCTTTCTTCGGATTATCGCTTAGTACTTCCTCCGAGGATATGCTGCCGGTATTTGCCCAGTGCTCCGCCTTGCAGGATTTCGAGATGAAGAATGCATCTTCTTGGAATGCAGTGTAAGTTTCATTCTTTTGATAAATAAATTAGAATTTTTTTTTATAATTATTTATCTTTTCTTTTCTTTTTTGGCAGACCAATTCCACTTGTCAATGTGATGCAAAACTTGGCTACACATTGTGCACGCCTGGAACGCTTAGTCTATGATGACATTAATGGTAACCGACATATGGAAGTTGATGATGACATCCTGTTGCAATTTGTGCAAAATTGCCCGGCGGTCAACCATCTCGGACTACGTGGCGTTTCTTTATTAGACAGCCAAGTGCAGATCATCTTTGAGGTATATTTGTTGGATAATTGATTGTTTGATTTTAATTCATATAAATTTTTTAACATAGATATTGTGGAAAATATACCAGGGATTGCGGAGACTAACAAGCCTAGATTTATCTAGCTCTGGCGGATTTACAGGGATCTCCTTAGTGTGAGTATTTGTGGTATATGCATAGTTTAGTTTTGATTTTTTTTTGTATAAATTTTGATCTGATTTTTCTTTGGTTGTTTATTTCTACAGCCAAGTTGCGAATACGATGAATGATGCGAGACTTAAAGTTTTGGTTCTTCAAACATGTGCAGACCTCACAGAGGTAAGCGACTTTAGATCTGCATATAAATGATGAATTTTTGAAAAAAAACGATCTTTATCTGATTTGTATGCAGGAGCACCTTCGAACCTTTTTCATGCGGCTACGTGAAGGTAGCTACTCCCACCTGCATAAGCTAGTAAGTTATTCTAACTATGAGTTTGTTTAATTTTCAATTTAGTGGATAAATCTTTCATTTTTATTTGTTTAATGCATCTTAAGAGGCGGAATTGGAGGAGATTTACACGAAGGTTTCGAAGCAAGGACAGGGGTTGCTGAGCTGGTCACTGCAAGGCCCGGGATCGACATCGACATAAATTTGTAACTATCTCTCTCCATCTTTGTAAAATAATTATAATAATCTGATTGGGCATTGTTTGTGGACAGTGTGGTGCTGGAGTGGCTTACTGAAGATACGCTCAATCAATTGATAGCTGGACCTGATTATGTTGTAGAGCTGGCACCATTAGCTGAAGAAGAAGAAGACTTGGAAGATTTAGATGAAGAAGAGCCACCAGATTTGGAAGATTTAGATGAAGAAGATGTTGTTGCGAGGAAGAGATTCATTCATTGGTGAGTTTCTTTGTCTATTATTTGGCAAAAAACTTGAGCCCATGTTATTCTGTGATGCACACTCGAGGGCTTTTTTTTCTTTTTGGCATTCTGTAAACGTGATGAACATAATCTCAAAGCTATTTCCACTTTTTCTTTACAATTCTTGAAGAAACAGAACATATCTTGATATCATTCCTCAATCTATGATTACCCTCAGCTACTAGTGTTTCAACCTTCATGCTGCTTATTGTTTTACACCAGCTTATATTACCTGTGAGGTGATCCTCGACATGGATGGGGCTGTTGGTTTTCAGTTCATTACTGTTAATCTTTGCCAATAATTTCACAGACTCTAATAGCATGTCTAGCTCAAACCTAAAGCAGAAAGAGAGATATATATTCACAAAAAAAACCCAACATAATGGCTCAAAATTTGACCCAAAAAATGACTCACAATAACAGGACAGTAACCATTATTTATGAAAGGTATGAAATACAGGGTTTCCTGTACACCATTAGAAGTTGATAAACCAACCGGTCATCCTCACATTTGAAGAGGCTCTCTTCATTCATACTGGTTCTTGCGCATGTGGCTAAATGAATAATCTTCACTTCCTGATGTGACGGAGATGTCTTCTGGCTTGCAATAGAAATAGGGTACTGCAGAAAGCAAAATAAGACTAATGAAACAAAAGATGAACTCAAGACTAACAGATCCACATATAACAAGCTGAAGCCACATACATTCTTTGGAAGTAACCGATAACTAGGAGTGCATTGTTCACAGTTCGAGAGATCTAGTTCACTAATCGGCTTTGCCCATTTCAGATTTGCAGCTGCTTTTTCAAGCCTTTCCTTATCATGATCTCTGTCTCTAAACCCGTCATCTCTCTTCTGTTCTTGGTCTCTATCATTGTCCAGTGACGGTTGAGGATATTTGCCTTCACTCCACAAGGATTCTGCAGTATAGTTTAGAATGGATTTTGTTTTCTTTTCAGCACTAGAAATAGATATATCTGGAAAGAAGATCAAACATAATAGTGGAGTTTTGTAGTCAGTACTCATGAATACTTAAAATATATAGAAAAAAGGCTCTGTCACTCAGAATCAGATTCATGTAACCTTGCAAAAGATAAGTAGACTTACTCTTAGTCAGAATACCAGAGAGCAGTCCTGCAAGAAGATTGAAAATGTTAAGAATCTGGTTTTTCTGATATTAAAGAATGTAGGAAGATAGAATCATAGTTTTGCCTCCTTACCAGTCTTTTCGCATTGCACCAAAAACTCTATAAAGGAATCCATGAGGTCAGGATATACTCCAATTAAATTTCCCACCTGATACAAGCACAAATGTTCATGGATCATTGCAAACAAATGCCACAGTTGAAATTTAAGCATTTTATATATGCATACCAAAGATTGCAATTCTGGTCGGCTGATTATTTCTTTTGAAAAGAGATTAAGACAACGTAAAAACTCCTGGTACTCTGAGGCATTAAGCTTTTCCTTTACTCTATCCACAATAGCTAGATCTTGACTGTAACCTGACATCACGTAAGACAATTTTAAGTACACACGGAATAGTGAACGAAAAACTCACTCCTTATCATCTTTCAAATAAGTTGTCATAAAACGAGAACTCGCTTTTCATGGCACCTTTTTCATCATAAGTAGATGAACTAGGAACTGCTCCTGAAAATTTATTTTGATTGGAAATTTCAGCAGAATCATCGCCTCTAATATGTAGTTTCTGCTTGTTGTTGAGAAATTGCTCTTTTTTGCTATGAGGTTCGAAATCTCTGGCATCCCTATGCTCATTTTCTTTGGTATTACCTCTCATGTGTTCTTTATTTTCTTTCTTCAGAGGTCTCTCTCGGTCCAGGTCAGTATGTTCAGTACCATAGTCATGGTCACGATGTGGAGTAATGCTCTGGTCCTTCTGCAAGCAACTGATGTCCGATAAAAGATTAAAACATATAGAGCATTGTATTTCTAGGAAACTAAATGCCTGAGAAGAACCTTATCAGGCAGAGAAATCCCTCTGTCAAGAACTGAAGTTTTAACAGAATGAACAGAGGCTGTTGCTGAAGTATCAGGTAGAAAGTGAGTAAATTCCACAAGCAAATCGTTATGATCTCGAAAAAGGATGGCAACCTGACATAGAAGTGTAAAAGTAAGTACTGAGTAGCAATTAGAAACAAATACCACATAGTATCAACGAGCCTACCTCCTGGTAGACCTCAGTGATGGACTTGCTATCATTTCTGTACATGTCTAAAATGTCTAAAAATGATATGTATACACGATCATCGCCCTGAAACCTTGTCTGCAAATGAATGAATATCTAAGAGAGCAGGAAAGGAAAAAGCGGTACTTTCATTGGACAGTTTCAGCACATAACGTAACTACCTTAGTCTTGTTAACAAAACTAATAGCTTCCTCGAACTCAACACGTTTCTTTAGTGGAGGTTGTCCATCCTCGGGTTGGAGTGTGATCTCAAAACCCTTTGGCAAGAAGGTATTGAAACCAGCTGTATCAACTCTTGGTGTCCTTTGAAAAGTTCTTTAACTTTGGTTATGACACCAGCTGTATCAACTCTACAACGCAAAAAAAAAACAATTTGAAACTCAGGTCTCAGAAACCATGGAGTATTATCCAGACTAAGACCAAAACCAAACATAAAAGAGAAAAAATTATACCTCTGAGATTTAAAATTCTTCATGACTTCAAGAAACTCGTCATATTTTCCGCGTTGATCCTGAAATTTATCCTTGACAGCTTTAAGGTATGCATTTGTAGTTAGCTTCTGTGCACTTGCTCCTCCAACCATGGTTTGAAGTTGAATAGAGCTTCATAACCATCAAAAACAGATCATTAAAAAGCCATTCAACATCTCAAAAGACCAAAGAACGTTGATTGAATCCTTGAAGAACCCATTATCCATGTGCTCATAAGCTCAATTATTAGTCTTCAACGAAAAAAACATAATTTCATTCCTCAAATGACACAACTTTACTCGATGAAACATTTAGCATCGAACTAATGGTAATAAGCGATAATAAGCTTACACATATCCTAATAAAACTCCAAATCAATCACATATACAAGGAAATTCAAAGAATCGAACTTTAAATTCATCCCAACAAGAACACCTGCAGATCTAGCAGCTACAAAACCAATTTTTGAAAAATAAAAACACGAAAGGAGTTGAGAAACATTCGATCTTAACTTAATCCTCAGATTATTTCACATTCACTCTACGATTAAAATTGTAATGCCCAAAAAAGAAAAAGAAAGGATAAAAAAACGAAAGAATTAAGATCATCGTTTATGTGTATTAGTTTACCGAATTACAGAGAAGACGAAGAACAAGTCTACAAGAACAACAAAGCTTCCTCCTTATATCCCACGAAACAGCTGAGAAAGACAAAAGTATTCAACACTTTTCAGACAGAAAGACTCACTGAGAAAAACGAGTTTTTATGTTTTATGAACAAGATTGAGATTTCTCAAAGGAGTTTTACGTACGTCTTCTTAAGTTTTTATTTTTGTCAACTGGAGTTTTTCCCTTTATTAATAGTTGAAAGGGTTCAAGAGCTTCTTGATTACTGTCCAGGAAACCCCAAAGCTAAGAGGATCAGGAAGTGTGGTTAAGTGTCACTTCAAATATGAGAGGATTGACGAGGAGGTGGCTCATCCGGAGAAGCTGCTCGCGTTGTTTGTCAAGGCATTCAAAGACATGGACGAAATGCTTTTGTCCGAAGTCTAGAGGATACGCTGGATATCTATCTATCTATTTATATATCTTTGTGTGTATTTTCTAAGATGTCTCAATAATGTGCTCTCTCTATGAAGAGATCTAGTCTGCAAGTATTGCAGAGTTTGTGTTATGTACGTTTGAAGTTGTAATTAGTTGCAAACTGTAACCTTTGTATTAGTGGATCTATATGAAGCCCAAAATAATGTCTTGTGAGAAGTCCAAAAGCTCATGTAATGGCCCTTGTAACTAGGGTTCTTGCTAAGGATTCATACATATAGTCATGTAATGAGAACTTTGATTGTTAACTTTGAGAGTTGTCTCAAAAACAACTCTCCTCCTTTACCTTTTATGAAATCATATTAAGAATCATTTGATTTTGGTGACAATTAATTTAAGCTTTCTCTCCTTTTTAGTTTCTTTGCATAATAAAGTTCTTAATGAGCTATCTAATTTCAGTTTTATATTTTTCTTAATAAGCTTATTTGAGCATAAATCTCTTGCATTAGAAATCTCAACACTTTGTTTTGTGTTGCTATAAGTTTCGCATATGCAAGTTATGTTTAAAGAAAAACAAAGCGTCATACTTTTTGTAAATGCAATAATTAAAGTTGTAAAGCCTAAGAAATTCTTGTGATGGTCAAATTGTAAAATTTCATCGAAAATTCGTCAGAAATTCCGTTAGAATTATCTTTGTTTTCTTGTAGTATATATATTATTAGAGTATTTTCGGAAATTAAACACCATTACGCCATTGATTTAATTTTTGAGTCATTATCATCCTATTTAACAACCAAATAAAAAAAATTATTTACAAGTGATACAAAATTGGTTAAATAGGATGATAATGACTCAAAAAATATATACATCCTTATTTCAATACACAGATTCATCACACAAATAAGGCTACTTAGTATGAACAACAGCAAGAAACCAAAAACCAAAAGACTTACCTTGAGGAAGAAATTATGTGAACAAATCTTTGGATCAATCAAGAACAGTAGATCTGCCTAAAACAGCTGGAAGAAACTGTATCTATTCAAGTCAGTGTTGATTTCTTTATGAATAAAATAAAATAAATCTAATACTAGTAATTGAAGAGCAATTTAGAGTAAACAACTTCAAAGTTGATAGATTTTACATTATATGTCACTGGAAAATTACGATAGACTATTTTAATTAATTCATCAAAGATACAATAATAATCATAGAATAGACATAATTATGATTATAAAAAAAAAAATCAGCAAAAAGTCTTTGAAGAACTATATGGTTCAGCCTGAAGCTGTTAACGTTTAAGATAATCTAAAATGATTTGATGAAATATTTTACTCACTGAATAGATCTAATACAGTCCAAACTACTTATTTCAATTGTTGTAATTTTACAAATGGCCTAGGCCTACCATAGTACCATTGCATACTTAAAATGTTTACACAATTTGAAAAAAAAAAGATTTCAAGAAAATATATTTTTCAAAAACATCATGACAAAATTTATTGGATAACTCTGTTGGTCTGATTCCTTCCCTTTCGTAAGGGACCATATATATTCCAACATTCGGCAACTCTGTTGTTTTAGAATGACTCCTGCCACATATTGCTTATTCTTTCCTCTATAAAAGTGGCTATGAATTTCCAAAGAGATACTCACCTACTCACTCTCATAAAAACCTAGAGACACAAAACATCCGTATAAAAAAAATGGCACAAGCTATGCGTCAGTCTTCTCTGCAAGGGGAGCTTGAGGTAGATGTTGAGATCAAAGCATCTGCAAAGAAGTTCCATCAGATGCTCTCTAGAAGACCACAAGATATTGCAAAAGCCACTCCTGACATCCAAGGATGTGCTTTGCATGAGGGAGAGTTTGGCAAAGTTGGCAGTGTCATTTTCTGGAACTATGTTAATTGGTAAGCACAAACATTTATTTAAATATATATTTCTGAAACAGCATAAAAGATTTGATTGGTTAACCCTTCTTTTTGGGTGCAGATGGGCAGCCAAAGGTGGGGAAGGAGAGGATCGAGGCAGTGGATCAGGAGAAGAATCTGATAGCGTTCAGGGTAGTAGATGGAGATATGTTGAACGGGTTCAAGAGCTTCTTGATTACTGTCCAGGCAACCCCAAAGCTAAGAGGATCAGGAAGTGTGGTTAAGTGTCACTTCAAATATGAGAGGATTGACGAGGAGGTGGCTCATCCGGAGAAGCTGCTCGCGTTGTTTGTCAAGGCAGCCAAAGACATGGACGAAATGCTTTTGTCCGAAGTCTAGAGGAGTCGTTGGATTTCCATCAATCTATCTATCTATCTATGTTTGTGGGTGTTTTGTAAGATGATGTCTCAATAATGTGCTCTCTCTATGAAGAGATCTAGTCTGCAAGTATTGCAGAGTTTGTGTTACGTACGTTTGAAGTTGTAATTGTAATTGCAAATTGTAGCCTTTCTGTTGCTATAAGTTTCACCTATGCATGTTATGTTTTAAGAAAAACAAAAGCGTCATACTTTTTGTAAGTGCAATAATTAAATTTGTGAAGCTTAAGAAATTCTTGTGATGGTCAAATTGTAAAATTTCATTGGAAATCCGTTAGAAATTTTGTCAGGATTGTCTTGTTTTCTTGTAGAGATATATTTTCGGAAATTAAACACCATTACGCCATTTTTGAGTCATTATCATCTTATTTAACCAATTTTGGATCTCTTGTAAATATATAAGTTTGTTTTTTGGTTATTGATTAATACATTACAACAACAACAACAACAAATATATTGAAATAAGGGTTACAGATTCATCACACAAATAAGGCTACGTACTATGAACAATTTTCCAGCAAGAAACCAAAACCAAAAGACTTACCTTGAGGAAGACATTATGTGACCAAATCCTTGTTTAAAAAATCGCTAGGCGCTAGTCGGGCGGTGAGGGTGGGCCTAGCGCCTAGCAAGAAAATCGGAGATTAAATGGGGATTAATCGGGGACTAGTTTTAAGGCTATTTAATATTTTAAAAACATATTAATCTATTATAAATAAGAAATTTCTATAATTTTGTTTTTAAAATTGCATTAAATACATGAAAACAAGAATTTAAGGTCAAACTTATGATTTTTATACAAATTATGAACATAAGTGAGACGTTTTAAATTTTAGAATCAAAAAAAGAAAAAAAAATGTAAAAAAAAAAGAAAAGAAATTAGGCTAGGCGCCGTCTAGGCGGGCTAGGCGGACGCCTAGGCGGTCTAGGTGGACAAAAATCGGATCACCGAATTTTTTTACCGATTTGGACAAAATCGCCGCAGTCTCCATCCGATCAGCGCCTAAGCGGCCGATTTTTAGAACAGGGGACCAAATCGTTGGATCAATCAAAAACAGTTTATCTGCCTAAAACAGCTGGAAGAAGTTGTATTTATTCAAGTTTAAATTTGATTTTTTTTATGAATAAAATAAAATAAATCTAAGACTAATAATTGAAACTCTGTTTCAGTTCTTTATATCAATGTCCAAAGAGTTCGACGTAAGCCTATTTGTGTGTACATATGCAAGTTGTAACATTTTGAGTAAGGTATGAGTACATTGACATCATCGCTGCCTTATTACAATCAGAAAAAAAAAAAACAATTCAAGAAACTTGCTATATACATTTCTCCTTCAAAGATCGCTTGAACCAGAAACATCGATCCACTCGACTTGAATCTCAACCTCACCACTTTCTACATTTCTCAGCTTTAGAATCATGTCTTGTACAATCTTTCCATTACTGAAGATGATTCTACTCTCTTCAGCCAAGCAGTTGTCTCCACTCGGCTTCACTCTATGTATCTCGGTTCCATCAGAGAGTTCTTGAATATCCGTTCCTTGAGCCTCGAAAAACGGCTTGATGTCTATTTCCGCATCTCCCATCGTGTCATGCGAAGTGAATGTATCCTTATCAAACACTTCCTACAAGGAAACACAAAACACAACCAAAAGACTCCTTGAAGATCAAGAATCCCACAACAAAGAAACATAGATATTTCAAGAAGATCAAGAACTAAACTCACGAGAATCACAGGTTGATTAGGATCATTGATTCCAAGCGTCAATTCATCGTCCCACTCAGGGTTGCAGCTATTTTCCACACCACGAGTCTTCAATTTCTGAGACAAATTGATTAAAATCATCACAAGTCTATTAAAACTCCATTATAAGTTCCATCAAAAACAGAGTAATTCTCAAATCTTCTAAAGTTCTATTTTTCCGAAATTGGAATCTACAAGGTATAATCTTGAAAACAGAGAACATAAGAGATACCTGAGAACCCATGGTAACGACGACGAAAGGGTCGCTGGTATTAGAATCACGACTAACAAGATTAATCCCTCTCTTCACTCTGATTCTGAGAAGTCCCACCAGATTCTCCATGTCTCCTCCGACTCTTGTCTTTTGTCTTGTTCTTGGGTTCTTAAAAGAGAAACGAGTTGCAGAAGAATAATGAAGCAGATGATGTTTCTGGCCTCTTTAAAGTCTCTGACTTTTATCTACACAGAGCATCTTCTGGAGAATCTTTTTATGCTTTGCAATTAAATCATAATCATTGACTTATGATTTTTTTTTTTTTTTTTTTTTTTTCAATGGGCCAACCAGTAAGTTTATGACAAATTAGATTAATTTCATATAGATTAAAAAAATTAGACTTATTATGAACACTAATATGCATGGATATTCCTTCTTAATTATAGTCACTATAAATATTTAAATATCAAGGATTGAAGAACCCTTTGTCCTTTTGAATCTAAATAAATGGATACTATACAAGAAATCATTTTAATAGACCACCCAATAATTGTATGACATTAATACATCAAGATCTAGACAAAGTAAATTCATTTTATATTGTTTATTAAAATTACTCTTATAATTATTATTATTTTTATATATCCATCATAAAAATTTTCACTATAGATATCACGAAATTTAACCTTTTTCTCTATTTAAGAAATGTAGATAAAGACACAAGAATTTTTTGAGTAAACCCGCCAATAGATTTATGACACAATTTGTACAAAAAAAAAAGATTTATGACACAAATACATCTCAAAATTAAGAAAAAGTAAATTCACCTCATATTGATTAACAAAATTTAATATATTTACTCAAATCTTAATATGTATGGATAATCCTTCATAAATCTATTCACTATATATATATATATATATATATATATATATCATGGATTAAGCATTTTTTTTGTTCTATATACAAATACATATTGCTTCACAAAATCAAAAACATAAATCATGAGCAACTATTTGCTATCCCATTTCTTTTTGCTGAATATCCAATTTCTTTTGACAAAAAAAAACATGAGCAACTTGAAAATAACAAATAGGTTTTACTCATATCATCATCATGTGTTATAACTTATAAGTATCTTGAAGATGGGCTGAAAAAGAAGTTGGATATTCAGCAAAAAGAAATTGTCAGCTTTTTCTTAAAAATAAAGATTTTATATATAAATTGAGAGCCTATATAGTCTACAAGTCATTCGAAATCGTACTTATACTATGAGTCTAAATGGTAGTAACATGATTTTGGTAAATTGTTGAAGAATTGATGATAAATATTTTTTTGTTACACAGTTTAACCAAATGAAAGTTGAGGTATATATCTTAGTCATATCATTTTGTTACATAATATCTTAGTCCTCCGAGACCGTTTACGGAAAACTTATGTAATAGGTACTAAATTTTTTGAAAAACATCGGCTATGTTTTATTTTATTAGAATAAATTAATATTATTAATGATTAGATATATATATATATATATATATATATATATATATATAACCTGTTTATTATGTTATTTAAATGTACATATAGATAGATTTTACACCGCCGTAAACCGTGGATCGATTTTTTATACCTAAAATATTGAAATTTGTTGTGAACTGTGTTTTTCATTAATAGAATAAGGGATATATATACAAGGATAATAGCATGATACAGAGAATAAGGTAAAACCCTAATGGGCCATGGGCCGGTTATGGAGTCCATCCATATGGTTTATAACACTCCCCCTTGGAAGACATAACCGTGTCCGATACTAAACCGGGATCTCTATAATGCGCTGGGGAATGTTGCCTCATTAAAACCTTACCAGGAAAACCCAGTGGGACAAAACCATGGTGAAGGAAAAAGAGTACAACACGCATTACTCCCCCTGATTTGAGCATCACTGTAGATCCTTAAGTCCGCGCATCCCGATCTGATGAATGAGCTTCCGGAACGTTGAAGTCGGCAATGATTTGGTGAATAGGTCGGCTGAATTCTCACTTGACCGGATCTGTTGAACTTTGACCTGACCGTCCTTCTGTAATTCATGAGTGAAGATGAACTTAGGCAGAATATGCTTCGTTCGATCCCCTTTGATATAGCCATCCTTTAGTTGATCAATACAGGCTGCGTTGTCTTCAAATATGATGGTCTTTGATGTAGTAGCAGTTGCGCCTTAAATAAAGGCTGCCTACGTACCCTTGGAAGGGATCAAGCCACACGTAGTTCCTATTCATTGACCATACCATAATCTGATCTTATGAATATCCTGCATTAGTAAATCAAACTAAACCAAAGCAAACTGGACCTTCTTTGGTTAGATCAGTATAGAATAAACCAAGTAAACAACGCAGGAATAATAGACTTTAAAACTTAATCAAACCTTCCTTTAAACCTTTCCAGTGCCTTTGGGTTGATCATGAACTAAATTTAGACAGGAGACTCACGGCAAAACAAATGTTTGGTCTAGTGTGTCTAGCCAAATTCATTAGAACTCCTATGGCACTGAGGTATGGCATTTCCGGACTGAATGGATCACTATCCAATCTGAGGCTTCTCACCACCATTGGGCCTGGTCAATGGGCGGGCCTGGTCCTTATTAAATCTCCTTGAGTACTCTTTCAGTGTATGCCATTTGATGCACAAGGATTCCATTATTCACGTACTCAGGTAGTAATCCCAAAAAGAACTTAATTATTGCCTAGGTCTTTCAACTGTTTGGTCGATTACCCAGAGGTTTAAATCATTCATATACACTGCTATGATTACAAATCCTTTGTTTGCAAACTTCTTGATAAAAATACATAGACTGATCGGATCGTTTTTATAGCCTTCTCTGATGAGATATTCGCTTAACCGGTTATACCACATACGTCCGCTTTGTTTCAGTCCATATAAGGATTTGTCCAGCCTTATGCAGTGCTGTTCTCGAGAATCTTTCTTATCTTTGAGCTCAATACCCTCTGGTAATCTCATATATTATCCAATGGACTTATATAAATATGCAGGCATTACATCCATTAGCCGCAAATCTTTCTCTTTTATATAGCCAGACTTAGCAAAGATTTAAATGTCTTAGCATCCACCACAGGGGAGTATATCTCCTCTATTTCTGGTCTTTGTGTGAATCCTTGTGCGACAAGCCGTGTCTGATATATTACGCTTTCACTATGTTTATTTCACACTATCACAAAGACTCATTTGTCCCACTGGCTTTACATTGAATGGTGTCCTTTGTATTGGACCAAACACATTCTTCTTCTTAATGATTCTTAGCTCCACGTTTTATGGTCTTGTACCATTTTAATCAATCATGTCTTTGAGTGCACTCTAGTATAGACGTGGGCTCCTGATCCTCATTCATTTCAGTTGCTACCTTGTGCGCAAATATTTTATCATTGATGTCGACATCTTTTCGGTTCCATTGTATTCTAGACATGATATAGTTTATAGAGATCTCTTTACACCTTCAGGACCTTGAGGTTTGGCGTCCCAAACCTCATTGATTGGTACCTTAGGGTTATGTCTATTAGCCGGCCATGTCTATGGTTTCTTGAACCTTCTCGGTTTCCCTTGCACCTTTCTTTGATTTCCGAGGGTTCTTGTCTTTGGAACCTTTTGGGTCTACCACGTTTCTTACGTGTTGTAGCCTCTGTAGCAACTTGATTGTGTTCCTTGTGAACATCAATACGTACTGGTGCATTACAAGCTGGTATGTACGATTTTGTTACTCTCTTTGGGTCATTATAGGAATCTTGGCAATTGTTTTAGCTAGCTTTTGCAGATATATAGTCTTTTGGATCTCTGATGGAGTCCGAGGATCTTGCTATGTGAAGGATGTTTGATTCCATGTAAGTTCTTTGACCAGCTTGTTAGTCTCTCCACCCAGTGTTGGGAAAACGGATTCATTGAGATGACAATCCTTGTATATGGCCTTTGGCTCGAGATACTTAATGATGGTGGGAGAATCATTTTTAACGTATATTCCCATCCCCTTTTGAGGTCCTATTATCTGCTCTCTGTGGTGGTGCAATGGGTACATAGACTGAACACCCAAATGTCTTAAGATGGGAAACGTCTGCTCATGACCCGTTAGCAATTGGGATGGGGAATATCTATGCTCACTAGAATGGCCTGATGCGTATAAGCTCTTGTTGCATGTAATATTGCGTGTCCCCAATCAGCTATTGTGAGTTCAAGTATGGACATGTGCCACGGGGTATACTACTCTCCCCCTCATGGACATACTGTAGCCATAAAACGCTTGGGACATAATTTACCAGCATTATCTAGACATATAGTCTTAAGTATGTGGGCTCACAGACTTATGGTCTGGGCCAGCAATCTAGCAAACACCAAGTTTCTAGTTGCTTTGACTGGTGATGGCCTTAGTATGAGTTTCCCTTGAGTACATGCTATACACGTGAGGTCCTTAAGGGGTGTGCCCTTTTGATTTTAATATCAGCTTTACGAATCATGTTAGGAGGTTGACCAAGCCGGTCATGCCATTAGTGAATCTCTTAGTAAACCCTTTTGTTTACTGTATTAGCCTTTATCATATTGACCTTGGCATAGTAAAGGTCTATGACGCGGGTATAGTCTCTAAGACCTTCTCATGGTCTTGGGTGCTCTTAGTAATATATGGGAATCCTTTGTTCCCTTCACCCTAAGTTTCAATGTGGAAACCATTCAAACACATTTCTTTGAAACTCAACAAGCCCCTTTGGGCTGGGTGAATATGAAGCATCTGAGGATGCGTGCCCTTGGGAATATGGGCCTGCCATGGGCCTGCCATGGGCCTGCCCTTAGCCTTCACTAAATTTAGCTATACCCGCAATTTGGCTAATGAACCATGTCTTTAGATATTTCGTTTATTGAATTCTCATAGTCATCTATCTCATGGTCGAAATCTTCTTCACCATCGTGATGAACTAAATGAGCTTCTAGATTCTTTTCAAACTCTCTTGATAGAGATCAACGAGATGCTTAGGTGTCATGCACGTCTTAGTCCAATGGTTTCCCCATTCCTCATCAGTGGCAAACAAGTTTATTTGAGTGTTGTGGTTTGGGTATACCGTGGCCTACCTCGATTATGACCAAAGTCGGGTCGGTGGCCTTAACCATATGAATAGTTTCCTTGATCATATAAATTATAATTTCCACTTCTACCACGTTCATTCCATTTACCATGACTGTGGCCATGATACTTATCTCTTTAGACGTGGTTAGACTCTTTAGTCTCTTTAGGCTCTTTAGGCTCTTCAGCCCAACGGGCTTCTGATAATGGGGTAGGACCAGGAGGTCTCATTTCACTATTTGTAACTCATTGTTTTGCTCAGCAAGTATCATATCAGAATCAATGTTCTCATCAAGGTTTCTCCAAAGCCTCACTCCTTAGCACTCTCTACAGAGGAGTCCTCCCCAAAAACAAGAGTTTAGACTTGCATATGTGGTAAAAACCTTTTTCACGATATTGTTGCTGAGGCAATATATTGTTTGTGTGAAAGGTCGAGAATGCTTTCTCTAGCAAGTCTTTCTCTAGCAAGTCATTCTCAGTAACTTCCTCACCACGGAATCTCAGTATTGACACTATTTTAAATAGTGCTGAGTTATACTCATTCATGGATTTGAATTCCTGGAATCTGAGATTCTTCCGATCAAATCGGGCTTTTGGGTAATAGCACCGTTCTTTGGTGGTTATATTGAATTTTTTTTTTTTTTTTTTTTTTTTTTTTTCAACTCTGTCCTGAGGTCCAGATGATTCTTAATAGTGAGGTACTGATTTTGAGACTCTCATTGAGGTGATGGCGTATGTCAGTAATAGCCTTATATCTTTCTCTTCTGGTGACATTGTTTCCTTCCATAATAGATTCACCAAGCCCTTTTTCCTTTAGGACAATCTCAGTGTCCAAAGCCTATTTTAAATAATTGTCACCAGAGGCATTGAGTGCCGTGTATTCATAATAGTTGATTTCTGATATCTATAATATATAGAGTTAAATGAGAACTCATGTAATCGGTTAGACCAAGTCATGCGGTATTTAAGACCGAGCCATGCTTGTCTTCAGCAAGTGTTTTCTAAACAATCATGTTATATATATATGGATGAAATCAACCCTAGAAGATTGATTTAGTATGCAACAACCAAACAATCGGATCATACTAGATTAGGATATTAGGATTTCGCGGTTAAGTTTTAGGGTTTTAGCATCCGCGATTTATAGTACTAGGGTTTTTTCAAGGGTTTCGGTTTTATGTGTGGAACTTTCTATTTATGGAAACTTTTCTTATATGGAAACTTTCTATTTCTCATCTAGAAAGAAATCCTAAACAAACGTGTACTTTAGGGTTTTGGAATATTTCCTTATGAAGGAGTTTCCTATTTTGGTAACTTTCCATTTTGGGAAACTTGCTATTTTAGGGAACCTTTTATTTTGGGAAACTTGCTATTTTACGAAACTTTCTATTTCTGGAAACTTTCCTTATATGGAACTTTCTATTTATGGAGATTTTCTATTTATGGAAACTTTCTATTTCTGGAAACTTTCCTTATATGGGAAACTTGATCCTAAACCGTGACTTAGGGTTTATTAAACCGGTTTAACCTAGGATTTAGGGTTTCGGTTTACTTTCGGTTTAACCTAGGGTTTATATTAAAACATTCAATCTATCATGCCATTAAACATCTTTCCATTCACTAACTTCTCAATTAATTCTCCAAACAAAAATCATAAATCAAATCACATGTGCCAATTTTCATCCAATTTTATTTTATCAAACTTTAATTGGATCATGTATATAAAGCATAATAAATAAATAGCACTTATCTTAATTGGAGAAGTGAAACAGAGACCCGAGATCTGATACGGAGATTGGAAATATTGGGACTTCCTACAAAATCTCAATATATATAATCCTGATTCCTGAGAAACTCAAAATTTTGCTCATAGAAACATGGCTATTACATTAGTAAAAAAAATAAAAAAAATAGGGTTTCTGTAATATACTGCATAAAACAGTTCAGAATCAATAACATATAATCCGTGCATAAATCGTACAAAAATATAGACATGATTGATAATAAATAATCCGTGCAAAATTTGTGCAAATCTACAGACAGAATTGACAACAGATAATCTGTGCAAAATTCGTGCAGAAATACAGACAAAATTGATAACATATAATCTGTGCAAAATTCGTGCAAAACTACAGACAGAATTGACAACAGATAATCTGTGCAAAATTCGTGCAGAAATACAGACAAAATTGATAACATATAATCCGTACAAAATTCGTGCAAAACTACAGACAGAATAGATAACAGATCATCTGTGCAAAATTCGTGCAGAAATACAGACAGGATTGATAACAGATAATCCGTGCAAAATTCGTGCAGAAACAAATATGAACAGAAAACTTATCTCGATAGAGTTTAAAATTTTGTTTGCAGAGACAGCTAGGGTTTTGGTTTTTGTGAGAGAGATTTAGGGTTTCGGGATTTTTTAATTTTTTAGGGTAAGAGGCTATCGTGCTGATAACGTGTTGTGAACTGTGTTTTTCATTAATAGAATAAGGGATATATATACAAGGATAATAGCATGATACAGAGAATAAGGTAAAACCCTAATGGGCCATGGGCCGGTTATGGAGTCCATCCATATGGTTTATAACAAAATTTTAATTTTTAAATAGTGTAAAATAAAAAAAAAATAAGAAAGGTACTCAATTAATTTGAAAGAAAATTGTATCTTTTTTTAGTTGTAACTATTTTATAATGTCATTTTATGTAATTGATTGCTTACTAATTTTAGTTTAAAGTTATATATAGTAGACAAATCTAAAATTCTAAACAAAGTAAATTATGTGACATAAATACATCTACAGATCTAGACAAAGTAATTTTATGACAAAAATACGTCTAAAGATCTACACAAAGTAAATTCAATATTCATATAACAAAACATTTTTTTTCTTCAAAATAATGTTTTACTTAAAAGTTAAATCCAAACGATATTTAAAAAAAAAAAAATTTATTTTCAGTTTAAATTAGTAACTTGATTTTTTTTTTAATCTAATATTTCGGTTGCAAAAGAGTAAGAAACAATTTCATGAAGAGTATTATACACAGAAAAGAAAAGCTGGTTTTCATATTTTCAAATTTTCAATAGGTTATTTTTTGGCGATTTAAAAAATATAGTGGATTCCTGTAGGAAATCACCCAACAATAAAAACTAATTTGTACATATAGATCTATAGTTCAATAACACTAGATTTTATAAAAATCATGAATCAACAACACAAGATTTGTTATCTTAACAAAAATCATTCCAGATATTTGATTGAAACAGTAAATTCACCTCATATTGATTAACAAAAAAATCACATTTACTTAAACAGTAATATGTATAGACAATTCTTCGTAAAATAGTTTTAACACTATATATTTCACTTTTGTTTTCTATATGCAAATACATATATATTTTAGTAAAATCAAAAACAAAATTCGAGGATGGAAGCAATAAGACCTATGCTCGTGGCAATACTCGTGTTATCATGTGTGTTTATGAATATCATGAAGGTGGAAGCTCAAAAAGAAATTGGATATCCAGCAATAGGACGTGATGGTGCACATGGATGTAGTCCTAAATATCCTTCAGTACCATGTCGACCAAAACAACCAGAGAATCCGTACAAGCGAGGATGTGAGAAAATTACAAGATGTAAACGCGATGGCGATGGCGATAAGCAAGCAGCTCTTCTGAATCCTCAAAAAGTACTAGATGTAGTCGCGGTGATGACAAAGGCCAAGCAGCTCTTCTGAACAATATATGATTAAAGATTATAGATATGCTATAATCATATGAAACTAATGCAATTCTACGATCATTAATGAATAAATCTATGATTTTGTATTTCTTTAATTCACTTTGGTCTCCTATATATCTACTGTTATGATCAAGAAATGCATAACCGAGAAAAATGGCTTTCTTCGCCATATAAATTGATGTTGTTTTACTTCCATTTGGTATCTGACTATCTGAGTCAACATCTATTAACGAATGGACTCGCAACATTTAGATCAATGTGAATTTTGTCTAATTGTTATAGTTTGTGTTGTTTTTTTTTTGTTTTTGTAAAAACAATTTTTCTATTGTAATAGGTATGGAAACTTTACCTTGAATATATATATATATATATAATGAAACATAGAATAAAGAAATTTATTTTTCTTTTAATTAATATATATGGATAAATAAAGACAAATGATATTTAATTTTTTCCAATAGATAAACCAATAATTTCATGGCCTAAACTACTGCATCCTTTTCCAAAAAAATATAGACAAAGTAAATCCATTTTGTAAGACTCCCCCAGAAAGAATACTGATTTAAAATATATACACATATAAACACTAATATGTATGGATTTTATTCACTATGAATACTAAGGATTGGAAGTCCTCTTTAAGAAAAACAAAGAATGACACATGGATTTTTTTAATAGACCATCCAATATATATTTAAGACACATTTACAACTAAAGATTAGATATTTATGACAAGTATATTCACTTCTAAACAAAAAAAAAAAAATACTTAAACCACTAATATGTATAGATCCTTCATAAGATTGATCCACTATAAATACAACGGACTGAACCTTTTTATTGTTAGTTCACAAAAACAAAAATTTAAATCATGAGTAACTTGAGAGGAACTAATAGGTTTATACTCGTGGCAATACTCGTCTCATTTGTGTTTTTAAGCATCATGAATGCTGAAGCCGGTAAAGAAATTGGATATCCAAAAAAGACATTTGGTGAAGACCGAACGAATCCGTACACACCAATAATAATACGAGGATGTGATCCTAAATATCCTCAAACGTGCCTACCAAAACAACCAGCGAATCCGTACCGGCGAGGATGTTCAAAAATTACAAGATGTCAGCGTGACGGTGGTCGATAAACTTTTTCGAACTATATGTAACAATTAATGTTATACAAAAAGTCAATAATCATTAAACGAATAATTATCTGGTTTGCAATTCTTTTGGTTTTTTTTTTTTTGTCAAAGTATATATGGTTGCATTTCCTTAATTTCTATTAAGAGTAATATTACTAAATGGCCAACTTTCAGAGAGAATTTGAGAAACTAACGTTTAACCAAGTTAAAAAGAGTCATCTATCAAAGAAACGTTTAAGTTTTTTTTTTTTTTTTTTTTTTGGAAACGTTTAAGTTTCTTTGATAGATAACTCTTTTTAATATGTTTAAAAATAATACTGTCTTCTACTGAATAAAAAAATGAGAGACATATACGTGTAACGAAGGACGATTTGGCTTAATTAAGGATAAATTTTTCATAAATAGTTGGTGTATTTTTATGGAATTTTTCTCTCATATTTTTCATGCATGATTAGTTACTTTTTTTTTTTCTCTTTTAATGTTAGTTAATCGATATTCTCTTATATTTATCATATATGTATACTAGTACCATTAAATTTTTTATTTTTTTTGGAGCACCGTTAAAATCAAGAGATGTATATCTGAGAAAATTGATCTTCGTCGTCAAAATACAACTGTGATCAATTGTTTTCAAGTTCAAAGTCAATCTTTGATGATAAATGCAAATATAAAATCATTATAATTTTCTTTAGTCTAGATATAATTTTGCATCAACAAAAAAAATCTCTGAAATGTTGATTTACATTTTAGTGATGGATGAATTTTCCCCTTTTCGTCAAATGTTTAATAAATCATCTATTAACAAATTATGGTTGTTATATTGTCAGTTTTACTGATTATTTTTCTAGTATGAAATAAGTGACCAATAAGAAACATTAATTCAATCACATAATATTTTTCGGAAGTTAGAAAATTCATAGTCTACCACACTTATTTCGTGATACATACAACAGAAGAAACTTATCCATAATGTTGTTTTGGGTTTTTCATTATCTCCTCTTAAAATACGGTAACAAAAAGCAAAACGCGTTTAACACAAAAACAAAAATTTCCCAAAAGAACCTTTATGCCCTAATCTTGATTAAATAGCTCTACACGCCTCTTGATCATCTCTTCTCATCAAATTCACAAATTCGATTTTCCTTTTTCTCTTCCTCCTCCTCCTCCTCTCGGAATCTTCCTTAAAGTTTCCACCTTTCACCACCGGAAAACATCCCGACAAATCCTCGTCGGAAAATTTCACCTCTCTGTAATCTTTAAACTCCGGTGACGTTTGTGAATGGTGGAAACTAATCCGATAGGTGATAATCTTAAGCTCACCCTTTCAACAAAAAGGGCGAGCTTTTACATCATCCCTCTCTCTTCAGACTCTGTTTTCGCTTTCGGTTCTTGCAAAGAAGGCTGGTACTTCCGTTGCATTGGCCTCGACCCGTGAAATCATCATCATCATCATCATCGTCTCCGATCTAATTTTCAATTTTGAATTTCTGGGTTTTTGAAAAGATGTTGCTTTACAAGAAGAAGAATAATCAGATTGTTAAAGGAAACAGAATCTTGATCAGCGTTACGTTTCTTGGTAGTGCTGGTCCGATCCGGTTCGTTGCTAATGAAAGTGATCTTGTTGCAGCTGTGATTGATACTGCTTTGAAATGTTATGCTCGTGAAGGTCGTCTTCCGATTCTTGGTTCTGATTTCAACGATTTTGTTTTTTATTGTCCTATGGTTGGACCTGCAGGTGAGTTCATAATTACCAAAGTTTTGATTTTTATACACTTCTCTTCTGTTTTGTGATTATATAAAGATTGGTTTGTTGTAGCTTTGAGTCCGTGGGAAGCAATTGGGTCGGTGGGAGTGAGGAACTTTATGTTGTGTAAGAAACCAGAGGAGAAGAAGGTTGAGGGAGACAATGGAAGATCGAATTTTCCGAATAATGGAGCTAGGAAAGGATCTGGTGGAAGTTTTAAGGCTTGGATTAATAAATCTTTTAGTCTTAAAGTGACTACCCATTAGAGACATATATGTGTGTCTTCTTTGTTTCTTTGAATGCTCTCATGTTTGGTTTGTGTCTTTGTTCTTTGATTTATCTTATTTTTGAACTTTTGATTTGTTTTTGTTTCTTATGATGGTTTCAGGAAATAAAAGTTTCAAGTTCTTTGGCTTTAGATTTTGGTATTTGTTCTCCAATGGAGTTTTCTTTTTGTTTACAAAAATAGTTAAGAACTTTAGATTACCAGAAATGTGAAAATTGCATTGCTTAAAATTAGTTAATAACTTTAGATTACAAAAAATGTGAAAAGTTCATGGTCCTATTCTTTTAGTATATTCGACTTTGCAAGTGGTTCAGAGACGACAGCATGTGGAATTGTTGTTGGAGAGATTTGATCATTTTCTTCTCCAGGAGTAACTTTATTGGTTATTGTTTTCTATATTATCTATAGACAGGTAGTTAATATATCTCTTGGAGTAACAAAACAACTACTTTCACGTTAGGAATAAAATCTATATTACAAAAACATGACATATCCCTTAATTTTTAAAATATCATCCGGTTGATATTCCTCTAATACAAAATTTATAACTAGTAATATTTTAGAGCATAAATCACACATTTGGTTTATATAGAAGTAAAAAATGTACAAATATTGAACTCGGATGTGAGTGTGACCTTACATAGTTACATGTGAATACATTATCCAAATAGATTTGGTCGGTTTATGGCGTGTGATCTCGATCCTTTTTCTTAACTCTTGAAAACCTCATGAGGCATCTACTTCGAAATTTAAATGATCTAATTTGGGTTTTCAACAAGTTTATTTGCCTCAACCAAAAGTCACTCCAAAAAACAAAAGACCAACATATAAGACAACTTGTTGTAGGGTTGTAGCAAAATTAATGACGAGTTCATAAACGAACATTGACCATTTCATTTTTGGACGGTGGTATCGTAATAAATTAATAAAAACGAATAAAAAAAATCATGAATATCGGAGTTAACTAGAAGATTTCAAGAAGAAATCCAATGGATGAAAAGGTGCTATTCAATGTGATTATCTACTAGTTTCTATTCAACTAATTAAGCTTAAAACCCATAAATAGCTAGCTCAAATACAATGCTTGCGAGTTGCGACTAATATAAATTGATATACTCAAACTAGGGTTTACAAAAGACGGAAATTATAAATGAAACATCAAACATGGATGAGTGATATACACTCAAAGTACACTTAGTTCATAATTATTTACTGATATGCATGTGATTGGTATGTTAAAGATAATATTAGTAATTTAATGTAAAGTTTAAGGTTCCATTCATTTTTCTCATATGCATGTGATTCGGAGGATCCGAGGAAGTTGAGTCCATACATTACATATAAATTTTCTTGGCTTTAGAGATCACAGATTATCAAGCATATATTAGTATATCCCAAGTTCTTAAGGTACAAACATGAAGAATCTTTTAGTAGCTTAAGATCTTTCCAAAAATCGTTTTACACGATATATCTGACTTTTAATCAATTTCAGGTGCTTTGTGATTTATTAATTATTTTTTCTTGCTCTATTTATAGAAGCAAGTGTGGAGTTCTTAATTTCATGTGAATTAGAGTTAACCAAATATGAGTATAATCTCTGATCTCACTGAAAAACCCATTGATAAACTGAAGGTTCTAGAGGATTTAACATCAAATGTAACGCAGTTACAAGACAATGTATTGGAGGAAATGATAAATTGATGAGAGTAAATAACACAAAAGTGTTTAGGAAGAATTATAATAGACTCTCATGAGAATAAAGATACAAAGTACATTCTCTTATATAGAGATGGAATAAATCTAAGTTCTCTAAATTAAGATAAACTTAAATGTAAATAATATATGTAGAGATAATGCTAAATTTCCTAAACTTCGATATTGACAAATCCACAATCTTTCCATAATCTTATCTTGATCTTGGTTCGTATCTCCGTCGATCTCGATTCGGTTTGGGTCGATCTCATCGATCTCCCAATACCCCCCGGCAAGCTCATACGTGGTAACATGTGTGAGATTGGACAAATCTTCAGAATAACGGCTTTATACTCGGCCGTCGGGTCATCGTCGACGTTTATACCCGGTCGTAGGGTTCAAAGCGGCTACAATACCCAGCCGTTAGGTCATCGACGTTTATACCCGGTCGTGGGGCGTTTAAACCCTACCGTAGGGTCAAATTAGTGGAAAATACATCTTTCGTAGTTGTGTATTTCCATCGATTTTAAATCATAAGTGTTGGTCGCTCTTCGAACATCTTGTTCATGAAGAAACTTGTGTCGGATTCAAATTTGTCACCGCCGGATCAGCATCGTATCACGTCGGAGTCATCAAAAGCCTCGTGGCCCACATCTAGTATAAACGCCATCATCATCTTCTTGTTATTAAGAACGTGATGATAGTCGAATCATCTTCATAGAGACCACATAATGGCCAGTTTCTTCTCTCTCATAAGAAAACACAATTACATGTTCTCTTCTTCTTCTTCTTCTTTTTTTTTTTTTTTTTTTTTTTTTTTTAACAATCGATGGGAGTAAGAGAAGTCTTGCTACTTGTAATTGCAAGACAAATAAGAAGTCTCCAACGAAAAGAAACGCTGGGGATAGGTCAAAGAAAAGAAGCTGAAATCGATAGAAAAAAGAAATTGGGACGGTCAAACATTTTTTTTTTTCTTTTTTTTTTTCATAACTACGGAAACAAAAAAAACCTTAACCCAAAGAAATCGGATCAAGGCTCTGATACCATGATAAATTGATGAGAGTAAATAACACAAAAGTGTTTAGGAAAAATTATAATAGACTCTCATGAGAATAAAGATACAAAGTACATTCTCTTATATAGAGATGGAATAAATCTAAGTTCTCTAAATTAAGATAAACTTAAATGTAAATAATATATGTAGAGATAATGCTAAATTTCTTAAACTTCGATATTGACAAATCCACAATCTTTCCATAATCTTATCTTGATCTTGGTTCGTATCTCCGTCGATCTCGATTCGGTTTGGGTCGATCTCATCGATCTCCCAATAGGAAATACTCACACTTAACGCAAACACAAATTATCTCCAAAGCTTCTTCCGTGGAAGATTTGATAAAGAGATTTTCAAGAAGAACGTACCAGTGGTGACTTATGACGATGTTAAGCTATAAATCGAACGTGTAGTGAATGGAGAGCCCTCGAATGTCATTTCAGCCCAGCCTATAACCGGTTTCGTACTAAGGTAAAACAAGAGGTTCATGTCATGGTTTCTTTCTTATATATGTATTGCGAGTACAAGACCTAAGGTCATTATTGTTTTACGTTGCATGTTATCATATATTGTGTTATCGTTTTGTAAATTTCAAATGTGAAAATTTCAAAGCCTAATTCCTAAAATGTTGATTGTAGTTCGGGAACTTCAGGGGGAGCACAAAAGATGATGCCATGGAATGAAAAATATTTAGATTCTTGTATGATCTTCGGATGCATGTTATAAGCAAGTAAGTCCGATCCATATATATATATATATATAAACGAAAACTCATGAATGATATATATTACTTATAAAATAAATAAATAAAATCATTAATTCTTGTTCTTTAATTTCTAGTAATGTGAAAAATGTGGAGAAAGGAAAGGCGATGATGTTTTACTTCACTAAACTCGAATCCATCACTCCCTCTGGCTTGCCCGCTCGCGTCGCAAGTAGTAGCTATTTAAAGAGCAACTATTTCAAGAACCGTCCATCGAACTGGTATTACACGTACACCAGTCCAGATGAACTCACTCTATGTCCAGACAACAAACAAAATCTCTACTGCCATTTGCTTTGTGGTCTAGTTCAAAGAAACGAGGTTACAAGAATGGGTTCCATCTTCGCCTCAGTCATGGTCCGAGCAATAAAGTTTCTTGAAGATTCATAGAAGGAGTTGTGGTCAAACATACGATCGGGGCAGCTCAGCGAGTGGATCACGGACATAGGTTGTCGAGATTCCGTGTCTCTAGTTCTTGGTGGGCCTCAACCTTAAGTGGCAAACACCATTGAAAAAATATGCAACCAAAAATGTTGGAAAGGTATAGTAACAAGACTTTGGCCAAAAGCTAAATATATTGAAACTATTGTTACTGGTTCGATGGTGCAGTATGTTCCCACATTGAACTATTACTCTAATGATATGTTACCTCTCATTTCAACAATCTACGCTTCTTCGGAGACTCAATTCGGGTTAAATCTCAATCCTATGTGCAAGCCTGAAGATGTATCGTACACGTTCATGCCAAACGTGTCCTACTTCGAGTTCATACCTGTGGATGGAGACAAGAACAATGTTGTTGACCTTGCTGATGTCAAACTCGGATGTTCTTATGAAGCTGTGGTTACAAATTTCAGGTAATAAATGATAAAACATTATGAATATTAAAAACCATGAAATTAATTAATTCTATTATTTGATGTTGTGAATGTGAATGTTTTTCTTGCTCTTTCTTGCTTCAGGCTTGTATAGAATAAGAGTTGGAGATATTCTAGTGGTAACTGGTTTCCACAACAAAGCACCTCAGTTTAGGTTTATAAGAAGAGACAACGTGGTTTTAAGCATTGACTTGGACAAAACTAACGAGGATGATCTGTTTAAGGCCGTGAATCGCGGAAAACTCACTCTCGACTCATCAGATCTCATGCTAGCTATGCTGATATCTCCACTGTCCCGGGTCACTACGTAGTTTATTGGGAAGTAAAGGACAAAAACAAAGACAAGAAGAGCAAGAAGCACATAGAGCTCAAACAAGAGACATTCTCGGAGTGTTGTTTACTAATGGAGGATTCACTTGACGAGGTTTACAAGAATTGTCGGTTTAAGGAGGAATGTAGGACCATTGGAGATCAAAGTGGTGCGTCAAGGGACATTTGATTCTCTCATGGATTTCTTCATCTCACAAGGTGCTTCTATTGGCCAATACAAGACTCCGAGGTGCATTAAATCTGCAAAAGCCTTGGAGGTAATAGAGAAAATGTGGTAGCCACTAGCCACATTCTTCAGTACCGGATAGATTAAAATGTTTTTTAGTTTTGAATAAAATATGCATGTGCGTTAGTGCGTAATGCGTATGCTAGCAATCAAATTGGGCCATACAACAGTTTTTAGCCTAATTTGAACAAAATTAAATTAATCGTATAAGCGATAAAAGATCTCACAGGACAGGATCATTATTTTCTTTGTGAGAGACAAAATTTCCAATTGTAGACATGCAAACAAGTAAATATGATAGCAAATTCGCATGTTATAATCACGTCGTGTTCACGTACTAATTAAATTTAATTAATTTGTCACAAAACGTAAGTAGTGATGAAGATAGACAATTAACCACATGCATGGTTTTGTAATTTTGTTATTTAGCCCTTTAATATCGTTGACTTTATGAGAGAGTATTTGTTTGACTATTGCACGAAGTCACGAACTTCTCCACCGATTACCACCACCGCCACCGGCGCTACTTTCCATTTTTCTTTTTTTCTTTGGTTTGAAATCTTTTTTTAAAAAAAAAATTGAAATTTGTTTATCATGGATTTTCTAATAAATGGTCCATCTTTTTAAAAAATAAACGTATAATTTAAAATATTTTTCTGGTCATTATATAAATTACACATATATGAAAAGGATTTGGACTAAGGCTGGATATTCTTATTTATCCAGATTCGAATCCAGAAAATTCGTATACATAATACAACCAACACTTACCAAAATCCAGTTATTATTGTTGGCAAGTATATATTATCGACTAGAAGCATCATATAATTTCGTTATTCCGAGTATAGTAAATACTACTATTGTTTCTTAATTTGCTCAAAGAAAAGTAAATGCTAATAAATATCATACTATCGACAACGAAAATAAAATAAAAATTAATAATTGTCATATTATCGACGACAAAAAGAAATAAATAAATAAATGCCTAATTTTTAAATAAGATATTTTAACCTCTAACCTATTTATACTCTCCGTCCAGTCATCAACGTCGTCTCTTTGTCGTCGTCGTTATTTTTATTTCTCGCCGGAAAAACGAAAAAAACAGAAAAAAGTTTGAATTTTTAATTTCGAAAAAGCTATGGATCCAATCGAATCCGTGGAGTACAATGGCTTTGAAACCACCAATGGTGACTCTCACAACAACGACCATGGTTGGAAGAAAGTAGTGTACCCAAAACGTAACCGGAAGCAAAAACCGGCGGATCAAGCGGCGGTGGCGAATGTTGTCTCCGGAAAACTAATTCCCAATGGAGCTTTATCCAATGGAGGAGACAACATCTTCCGTTCTCTTGAGGAGCAAGCTGAAGATCGTCATCGACGGATCCTCGCGGCGAAGAAGGCTTCTGATGTTGCAGATGCGTCGGATGGAGTGAGATCTAAACGGCGATCTAACGGATACGGCGACGAAGGGTATGATTTTGATGACAGCGACAGTGAAATCGCGGTGGGGAAAGAGAATTTGAAGGTGGAGGAAGTTAAGAAACCGAAGGTTAAGAAGGAGAAGAAGCCTAAGGTTACTTTAGCTGAAGCTGCTGCTAAAATTGATGTATCTAATCTCGCAGCTTTTCTCGTTGAAGCTTCGGTATGTGCATGGATGTGAATTTGCGCTTTGATCTGTTTAGTTTTTAGTCGAAAGTTGTGATCTTATTGGTAAGTAAAAATTGAATCTTTGATAGGAATCATATGCGAGTCAACCAGAGATTCAGCTGATGAGATATGCTGATTACTTTGGGAGATCACTCTCTCAGGTATCATCAGCGCATTTTCCTTGGGTGAAAACGTTCAAGGAGTCTCCTTTGTCCAAGTTGATCGATGTGAGCAATACCTCTTTGTTCATCCTTTTTTCAATTTGACTATTTTGGGCTATGTAATGGTGTAGGTATGGGAATGTAATTGTTTGACATCTTCTTGAACAGATTCCACTTTGTCATATTCCTGAAGCTGTGTATAAGACATCAGCTGATTGGATTAACCAACGTCCCATTGAGGCACTTGGAGCCTTTGTATTGTGGGGGTTGGATTGTATTCTTGCTGACTTTGCTGTACAACAAGGAGGCGCCAAGAGTGGTAAGAAGGGAGCACAAAATGCTTCGTCGAAATCTCAGGTATTATGGTAGCTGAATGTTATAGTCTTGTTGGTCTGAATTACACCAATTAGATTGCCTAGGTGTTGTGGATGCATATGTCGAATTTACTTTCTGATTTTTGGTCATACTAGTCACTTTCTTTTATCAGTCTATTATTGTCGATCTGGTTGAACTTGTTATCAGTTACCATTGTGTTACTAGCTTCATCATTTTTCAATTCTTTTGATGAATAGGTTGCGATATTTGTGGCGGTAGCAATGGTTTTGCGTAAGAAACCTGATGCTTTAACTAATATATTGCCAACTTTGAGGGAGAATCCCAAGTATCAGGGACAGGATAAGCTTCCAGTTACAGTTTGGATGATGGCTCAGGTGTGTGAAGTTCTATTCTTAATATAAACGAAGAACCAAAATTACCATAACCTTTATTGTTTTTATGATTGAGTTTCTGAAATTTGCCTTCTCTTAACTGCTAACTATGCACAGGCCTCCCAAGGTGATATATCAGTAGGCTTGTACTCGTTGGCGCACAACTTGTTACCCGTGGTCAGTAGCAAGAGTTGCAATCCTCAGTCAAGGGATCTCATCCTTCAGTTGGTTGAGAGGTGAGTTAAGTTTCTTCATATGATGTTCTGTCTATGTGTGATGATTATCTAATCTTGGTTATTGTGTTTTATTGCAGAATCTTGTCCAACCCGAAGGCCCGGACCATACTTGTAAATGGGGCTGTTAGGAAGGGAGAGCGATTGATTCCACCTCCTTCGTTTGAGATCTTGGTTCGACTTACATTCCCTGCATCATCCGCAAGAGTGAAGGTAAAGTAACGTTGAGATTTGAATGCAATATTTAGGTGAATGAGGATTGGTTTTGACCTCTAGAATGGTTTGACGCGCAGGCTACAGAGAGGTTTGAGGCAATATATCCCTTACTGAAGGAGGTGTCTCTTGCTGGTGCTCCTGGGAGTAAGGCAATGAAGCAAGTCACACAGCAAATATTCACTTTTGCTCTGAAAGCAGCCGGGGAAGGTATGACAAACCTTTCTCCTACCTACACGTCCTGTAGAAGACGGTGCAATTAAAATTTTTGTAATATGTCTTGGTACAGAAAATCCCTTATTAGCCAAGGAAGTGGCTGCAATCACTATCTGGGCTCTCACCCAAAACGTTGATTGCTGCAAACACTGGGTAGGAATCACTCTTTCTTTTCCCACATAAGAGGTTATTCGTGACTGGATTTTTACTTATTGGCGTTTCCGGTTTGCGGGTCAACAGGAGAATCTTTATACCGACAATTTGGAAGCCAGTGTCGCTGTTCTTAAAAAGCTTATTGACGAGTGGGAGGAGCGTTCTGTCAAGTTGACTCCTGCTGAAACCCTCACTCTCAACCAAACAATGAAGAGCTTGAGGCAAAAGGTTCCACAACTAATATTCCATCTTTTATATCTCTCGGCCAATGATTAATTACCCATCAACTATTAAATACTGATTCTGATCCAACTATGTTTTACTAAACTACAGAATGAGGAAGCTCTTGCTGAGGGAGGTAATGGTTCAAGCCAGTCCCTTTACAAAGACGCAGACAAGTACTGCAAGGTGATCGCTGGGAAACTCTCCAGTGGTGGCTGCATCAAAAGTATAGCTACCACTGCTGCACTTCTGGCTGCTACTGGTTTTGCTGGTGCTGCTGCTGTGTCTGCCAACCCCGAGGCTATAGCCTACCTAAAGAACCTAGTGGAGTCATTGGACCTCAACAAATTCGCCGAGACAGTAATGACAGCGTTGAAGAACTGAAGGGAATACATATGAGGGGGACGATAAGCAAGAGAAGTACACTCTTTATCGTCGGTGTAGAGAAGTCCTGGAAAAGCCGCCTTTTCCATGCTCTCTGATTACAAACCTGACCGGCATTAGGGAGAGGTTAGGAGGCTAAAGAGTGAGAAAAGGAGGTTTCTCTCTTGTAATCATGTACTTTTGAGGAGTTTTTTTCAAAGCTCAAAAAGTTGTTGTAGTTGAGAGTTGAGACTGTCTAATTTAAGATGTTCTTTGTTTTTTTCTTTTCTGGAACAATAACGTTATATTTCCATTTGCTCTTATGTTAAGCTCGTACCCCCAAATCTACATGCCAAAACTCTTCCGAGATTGTATCTTCTGAAGAAATCTCACAAGTTGAGAAGCAGTGCCCACAAAGCATACCTGCAAAAAGTTTTTCAATGACATTCCCTAAAGCTTCTCATTAACCACAAAGTTCTTATTTTGAAAAAAATAGCCTTTTTTTTTTTGTTGGCCAGAAAAAGAAAAAAAAAAAAGTTTAGCTGAAACATCGAGTACCTTCGTCTCAGTTTCTCAGAGAAAAAGGTAAGAACTTTGAAGAATCAGATAGCTTCACAGAACAGAAGGAACGTTCGAATTGATTCGCTTCTTAATGTCACTCTCTACAGTAGCTTCTGGTATCGGCTTTCTCGACTTCCCTTGTTTGCGTCTGTTACCAATCTCATGTACCCAAATCCAGTTTCTTACTGTCGAAGCTAGAAAACAACCTAGAAGAAGAAGAAGACGCGAGCTCTCCTTCAGCCACTTTCCAGTACTTATCCACTCGAACCATCGTCTTCGTCATGGTTTCTCCGAGCTCAATTCGAGTTTTGATCGTTCCAACAGTGGAGAAACTGGTTCCGATACCACGGTAAGTCCCTCTAATGACCTTGGATTTCTCAGATTGTGTATTATCGGAAAAAGAACATTGATTATAGGTTAAGTTTAATGCTTTGTGTCTTGTGGTTGGTATACTGAACGAGTGAACGATGATGATATTTGTTTGTTGGTGTATAAGCTTAGTTTGAAGATGGTGAAGAAGTGAGGGGTGAAAGCTCTTCAGGTGTTGGAGATAGCTATGTGGCCTTGTTTGTGGGAATGCTCGGTTTGGACAACGATCCTCTTGATAGAGAGCAGGCAATAGTGGCGCTATGGAAGTACTCTTTGGGTGGGAAGAAATGCGTTGATGCAATTATGCAGTTTCATGGTTGTTTGAGTCTCATTGTCAATCTTCTTAAGTCCGAGTCCAGCTCCGCTTGTGAAGCTGCTGCTGGGTTGATACGGTCTATAGCTGCTGTGAATCTATACAGAGAATCCGTTGCTGAGAGTGGAGCGTTGGAAGAGATAATCGCTCTATTGAGCCGGCCTTCGTTAGCTACAGTGGTATGAAGAATTATGGTTCCAAAGTAGTATGCTTTTGATTGTTGGATTAGAATTTTGAGGTATGATTATTCGATACTTTTGTTTTTTAGGTGAAAGAACAATGCATATGTGCTCTGTGGAATCTGACAGTGGATGAAGAAATTAGGGAAAAGGTTGCTGACTTTGATATCCTTAGGCTTCTCATTAGTTTCCTTGAAGATGATGATGTAAACGTAAAGGAAGCAGCTGGTGGTGTCTTGGCCAATCTAGCCCTTAGCCGCTCGAACCACAAGATTCTGGTTGAAGTAGGAGTCATACCCAAGCTGGTAAGACCTTGCTTTCCATCTTATAGAATATAACAATATATCCATATATTACAGCTTATCTGTGGCACGTTAGAGTGAAATGATTGCTAATAGTCAAGGGTGAGAATTGAAATTACCGAAAGGATGCGGAATTGGCTGAGAATCACTTAGGGGAATGGTATTTTATATGGAGAAACTGTCGATTTGTTGGTTGTGCTTCAGCTTACTTTTCACCTTCCCAATTGAAATCCAGGCAAAAGTGTTGAAAGGCGATAATACAGAAAACAAAGGGTCTAAAGTTATTAGAAAAGAAGCAAGAAATGTGCTTTTGGAGCTCGCCAAAGACGAATACTACAGAATTCTCGTAATTGAGGAGGGTGTTGTACCTATTCCCATAATTGGTGCAGACGCTTACAAGTCCTTCAGACCGGATCTGTATTCTTGGCCTAGTTTACCAGATGGTATAAATATTGAGCAGACAGCAAAAGCTCCTTCAAGATTTGGTGCCTCTGAGCTGCTCCTTGGTTTAAATGTTGACAAGAATGTTGACGACGTAGATGAAGCGAAAATGAAAGCAATAATTGGGAGGACAAATCAGCAGTTCCTTGCCCGTATTGGAGCAATTGAATTTGAGAAGGAAATTAAATCCGAAGGGCCAGGGAAATCTCAGCAGCTTACTCTTCTTCCTTGTGTAGATGGTGTGGCTCGATTAGTCTTGATTCTTGGATTGGCAGACGAATTGGCAGTTACAAGAGCTGCAGAGTCAATTGCTGATGCATCTATCAACGAGGATATGCGGGTTTCTTTCATGGAAGCCGGAGCTGTAAAGCCTTTGGTTCAGCTTTTAGCCAACAACAACAAAGAGGCTGTTAAATTACCAGTCATCCGTGCCTTGAAAAATTTATCGCTTAGGTGCTTATCTTTGTGTATTCTTTACATTTTTACTTAGCAGTTTCTCCTGAGGTTGAGATTATTTATACTTGGTTAAATGCAGCCGCACTGTTTGCCAGAGGATTGAAGCTGAAGGTGCAGTATGGTTTCTTATTAATCTTCTGAAGCAGCCAGAGATCTCACTAAGCGTCACAGAACACGTATGACTTCGTTTTCTACTTCCTTTGTTCTTTGATATCTTTGTCTAGGCTATAATGGAATAACTGGACGTGAAATAGTATTTTGTGAACAATGTTTGCAGATTCTGGATATACTTGCTCATATCTTAGATCCTAGCAAGGAAATGGAATCCAAGGTGTGTTTATTTTCCAAGTTTTATTATCTTACATCAAATCTGTTTACATTTGGCTTAAACTATATCTCTACATGCTACAGTTTTATGAAGGACCGGTGAATGGATCAAAAGCAGACTCCAGGTCAGTCTTCTTCTCGATTTTCCTATTTTCAGCTCATTCTATCAATTACTCGAATATCTGATGGGAATGAACAGGAAGGAAGTTCTGGACGCTGCTGTTTTTTCTCGGCTTGTCCAGATTGCGAAATCAGCCTCTCCAAACTTGCTAAGAAATGCAATCTCTGTCATCGAGTTTGGTATAGTCAGTAATCCAAACATGGACACGATCATCTCTGGGGATATCACAACTGTTCTTGATCTTGCTCTCCGGCAGAAAGTCCTGGAAGGTACAAAACTTATCATTTGATATAACTGTTTGAATTTTTATACAAATGGGTTTCTCTTATGATTTTATGACAACATACGATACTTTTTATGGAAATGCAGAACCTGAGAACGAAGCTGAGGAGTTAGAGAAACATCTGCTTGAGCTAGAAGAAGCTGGTTTGACGATTTCCGCTGCTTCAAGGCTACTGACAAAACTTGTCGACTCTGAGTCCTTTCGCCAAACAATAGATGTCGCAGTCTTCACAGAATTACTAAGGAAGATCCTAAAATCTAGCCTCCCTCTACACTACAAAGACTGGGTTGCTGCTTGTCTTGTCAAACTCACCGCTCTCTCCTCTCCCCCTCAACCCCTCAACAATCCAATCAACATCGAGGTATGTTAATCTATTGGTTCGGATCACCATTACAAACTTTAGATTATTGAATCATCTTTTGTTACTTTTGTATCATAAGGTAACTCTGTACAAAACAATCCCGAGCCTCGTAGAACAAATGAGCTTTTCCTCATCACCAGAAGCGAAAGAAACAGCGGTTCTGGAACTGAACAGGATAATCTCCGAGGGAGTTCCAGAGTCTACCCAAACTCTTGCTTCACACGGAGGTATCGAGCCACTGGTTAAGCTTCTAGAAGAAAGAAACGAGCGGTGCGTTGAAGCGAGTTTGTCAGTATTGTATAACTTAAGCATGGACAGTGAGAACCACACAGCCATCATAAGAGCAGGAGCTGTACCAGTATTGAGACGTATCGTTATGTCTCAAAGACCACAATGGGAAAAAGCTCTTCGGTTACTCAGAAATTTACCCGTTTAAAAGACAAAGTTACAACTTCTTGAATCACTCACACTCGTTACTTAAAACATTTCAGATTATTGTCATGTAAATTTTGGAATCAATTAGAATAATATAATGTTTTTCCGAATATTCGAAAAGTTAATTACATTAATTTAATCGGATTACGTAGCACGTATATTAAATTAGCATATTCGGGAGATCCACATGATCAATCAAACATTTACTCATTGAAATTGTTACGCAAGCAAAAATAATTTAAAATCTGAAAATCCAATCCAACGGCTGAGATTTTCTTACTGTGTTAGTGAAAACGAGAGAAACGTTCTAGTTCACTCACTTGGCTACACGTGTCTCGGTCTCGTTTAGCTTTTAAGCAAGCTTCCTTTAGCGTAATTTAAAGAGCTGCTTTTATCATCACCACCACCACATCACTTTCTCTGCGTTCAATTTTGATCTTTGTTCTCTTCAAGACGAATATGGTTTTCAAGGTTTCTACCGTTTCAACATCTCCTATTGATGGCCAGAAACCAGGAACGTCTGGTCTCCGTAAGAAGGTTCGTTGATCGATCTCTGTCTTACGAATCGAGTGAATCGAGCGAAATCGAATTGTTGCATCTGGATCAGATCTGTTTAGATTGTCTTGAGTGGATTTTAAGTGAGATTAACCATCTGATTTAGATTTTTTGATCTATGCATTGATCTATGTTGATGACAAATTTGCGTAAATCTCATCTTTGAATCGGCTTTTCGTATTTATTTGGATCAAGTTCGAGATCACGTTTATTATCTTTGATTTGAGTATATATTTGATACAATTATATACACATAGAGCTTGAAATTACGTTTTTGAATTGATGTAGCGAAATGGAGACTATATGGATTGGATTTGTGTACAGTTACTTTAATCTCTCTTGATTCTAAGGAAGAAGAGCCTAGTTGCTATTCTCAGATCTTTCATTATAGTACGTTTTCGAGTATAAATGATCTTTGAATGGATATGCAAATCATATATGTCAATGAAAACGCACTTTTCAGCCATAACATATCAAGCTAGTTAGTGTCCATTGTTTGGTCTACTCTCTGCAGATATCAAACTAGCATCTTTTGTTATCTCTGATTAGTATTTTGATTTTTTTAATCGTGTAGGTGAAAGTGTTCAAGCAACCCAATTATCTAGAGAATTTTGTGCAAGCAACATTCAATGCTCTTACGGCGCAGAAGGTTAAAGGTGAGATTTTTTCTTACTCGTCTTGGTTGCTATTTAAGTGGATGCTTGTTAACTTAACAGTTCCTTAGGCAGATAGCTGCTCATTCGATTAAATCATGAGTATTTGTTCATCTGTGTAGGTGCCACTCTTGTGGTCTCCGGTGATGGTCGTTATTATTCAAAGGATGCTGTTCAGGTAAGACTAATGAGATTCCTTGTCTTCTGAATCTGGGTGAACTTAATTTGTGTATCCAATACTTAGCATTATACAATTATGAATTAGTGTTCAATGTATACAATATTTTTGGAGGGAACTCATGTGTTATGTCATTACATTGGCAATATGGTAACAAGCTTATGTAGGGAGGCCTGCTATTATCATCAATGCCTCACATATTTATCTTTGTGTCCATCTCTAAAACTTGCATTAAAATAGCTATAGAGAGATTAGAGGTTCTTAGAAGTTAAGGTTTTGTTTGACCTGCTAGTGTTACAAATTTGGACCATGTTTTACAGCTTTTCATACAATTTTATTTTCTATGTTAACAGATCATAATTAAGATGGCAGCAGCTAATGGTGTACGGAGTGTGTGGGTTGGTAAAAACACTCTGTTATCAACTCCTGCTGTATCAGCTGTGATTCGTGAAAGATCAGGGGCTGATGTGAGATATCTTTCTCTATGCTCATGTTTGTAGTGACCTTAAGTATTTTATTTTTGTTGGTTATTCACTATGTTTGCGCTTGGCGCAAGATGTAACGATGGTTACGAGAGACTTAACCCCAGTCTCCGGTTACAGGGATCGAAAGCAACTGGAGCCTTTATCTTAACAGCAAGTCACAATCCTGGTGGCCCTACTGAGGTCTGTTCCGTCTCTATTGTGCTCTGTCCCCTTTCAGTTGAACTGCTCGTTTCTATCTCTTTATTTGTTCATTTTTTATAATCAGATTTCTAGATGGATAATAAGACTAAGAGTTGATTCCATACCCCTGTACAGGATTTTGGAATCAAATACAATATGGAAAACGGAGGACCTGCTCCGGAATCAATCACTGATAAAATTTACGAGAACACTAAGACAATCAAGGAGTACCCAATAGCAGACGATCTACCCAATGTATCTAATCATTCTGAAGAATCCTCTTTTATGACAACATATTGTCCATTATCTGTCTTTTGTTGATTCATAGTTATCTGGTCTCTGTGATTGAATGCGACAGGTTGATATTTCTACCATCGGTGTAACTAGCTTTGAAGGACCTGATGGCAAATTTGATGTTGAAGTTTTCGACTCTGCAGATGACTACGTTAAATTGATGAAGTGAGTGCTCCCTGAATTTAAAAGCATGATTCCAGAATCTACTCGTCGATGTACAATCTCTATGATCTTTTCTTAAAATATCTTCTCGCTCTTTCAGGTCAATCTTCGATTTTGAATCAATCCGGAAATTGCTTTCATCTCCAAAGTTTACATTCTGGTATTTAGCTTACATTGGTTCCCAAACCTTTTCCATTTGAGTTAAGTTTGTAATATATGTTCCATCACTTAATGTTATATTTTACTTTGTTTTATGAAGCTATGATGCATTGCATGGAGTTGCTGGAGCCTATGCACATCGCATTTTTGTCGAAGAACTCGGTGCGCAAGAAAGCGCATTATTGAACTGCACACCCAAGGTCTTATTTTGTCTAACCAAGAAATGCTATTCCTTAAATGATTACAAATACACCTCCAGGCTCAATATTTACCACAATACAACGTTTTGCAGGAGGACTTTGGAGGAGGGCATCCGGATCCCAATTTGACCTATGCTAAGGAGCTTGTGGCACGAATGGGACTAAGTAAATCCGACACTGGAGGTGAACCTCCAGAGTTTGGCGCCGCTGCTGATGGTGATGCAGACCGTAACATGATCCTTGGTAAAAGGTAGCTTACTCATGTTTTTAAGTGAGATTCATCCATGGAACGAGTATACCAAGTACTTTTAAACTTAAAGTATCTCTTCTTTCGTAGGTTTTTTGTAACTCCTTCAGATTCAGTTGCCATAATTGCTGCAAATGCTATTGGGGCCATTCCGTACTTCAGCTCTGGTTTGAAAGGTGTTGCTAGGTATTATACACTGGGGCTCTTTCTTAACTTCTAGCAGATTTCTGTGTATACAACTCTTTTAATATATCGTTTTGTGGCTTATTTTTTAACTTCCACTTCTTGTTTTAGGAGTATGCCCACCTCAGCTGCTCTCGATGTCGTTGCAAAAAGCTTGAATTTGAAGTTCTTTGAGGTACATGTCACCTTGAAACTTCTATCCAGCTTCTTTTCTCCTAACTACATAAATTAATTCACATCTCTAATAAATTCACATATCAGGTTCCAACAGGCTGGAAGTTTTTTGGTAATCTGATGGATGCTGGGATGTGTTCTGTTTGTGGGGAAGAAAGTTTTGGAACCGGTCAGTTTCTATTTCCACACTTATACATCTGTTAATAACTTGAAAACAACCTATAGAGCTCTGAAAGAAAGATCTTTCACAGGCTCGGATCATATCCGCGAGAAAGACGGGATTTGGGCAGTTCTTGCGTGGATGTCCATACTTGCTCACAAGAACAAGGGAAATATTGACGGTAATGCTAAACTGGTGTCGGTTGAAGACATTGTCCGCCAGCATTGGGCTACCTACGGCCGTCACTATTACACTCGTTACGACTATGAGGTAGAGTTGCTAAGTTTGGTGATTGTATTATACCATATTATGCGGAAGAAACAGTACCCTTACTAACATCTCAAATTTTGTCTCCAAAGAATGTAGACGCAGGTAAAGCTAAGGAACTGATGGAGCATTTGGTCAAATTGCAATCTTCAATTCCTGAAGTTAACAAGTACACACACTTCCACTTCTCTGAAATCCCTTCCTTTTATACTTGGATACGTACTCATCAGTTTGGTACTCTGTTTTCCTGACCTCTTCTTCTCTATTGATTTTATTCAGGATTGTGAAAGGAATTCGTTCCCATGTGGCGAACGTCGCCAGTGCCGATGAATTCGAGTACAAAGATCCAGTTGATGGATCCATTTCGAAGCACCAGGGAATCCGTTACTTGTTTGAAGACGGATCACGACTTGTAAGTCATCTTTTTCTTCGGTATTTGAGCTTGTATACATTCCAGTTAAGAACAAAGTGATAGAAATCAAAACTAACTAATCCTCTCTTGTTCTATCTGAAACCATATGAAGGTTTTCCGTCTCTCTGGAACTGGCTCAGAAGGAGCAACCATCAGGCTCTACATTGAACAGTACGAGAAGGATGCTTCAAAAACCGGCCGAGAATCCCAGGAAGCTTTGTCTCCTCTGGTAAGATTGCTTAATATAAAACATCAAATCCATAATTGTTTTCCAACTCAGTCCTATTTTACTAAACCAAAACGGGGGTTGCTCTCATCAAATGCGTAATTGTTGTTGATGTGTGATTTACAGGTTGACTTAGCTCTAAAGCTGTCTAAGATGGAGGAGTTCACCGGCCGATCAGCCCCAACCGTCATAACATGAGAATGGTCAAGCTCAACGACTCGAATCATACACTTTTTTTTCCTGCATCTATATGATGCTTTCTTCTTATACTATCCAAGTTCCATTGTAAGAATAATTAGTCTCAGGGAGAATTTGTATCTCTTATCGGAATTCTGAACAACCAAGAACGATTTCTTGAGTTGTCGTGAGGCTTATATATACTTGTACGGATTTGGCTTTCTCGGTTTTGTTTTCTCTTGTTTCCATCTTTTGCATGATTAAGATTTGTTCTTGCGGTTTTATATAAGATTTTGCAAGTTTGGTCTCTTAACATCTAACTTCATTGATACCTCAACATTTAAGCATGCTACGAACATCCATTGACAAAATCTCAGAGTTTTGTCTAATTACCTCACCGTCTCGTTTTTCATTGCTGTGGTATTGTTGCATGATACCATAATATATGGACAAAAACCATTTTTTTACTCTCATTTTTTTTAAAGTAGGGAAAGACATCGATCTTGAATCAAAAGAGAATAAATGAAAGATTCAATATATATCAGTGTTGCTTTCGTAATGAATATAGAAAATTGGAACAAGGAAACCCGAAGATTTGGTTAGAGTCGTACACAACCCTAATTCTCCAACCGGACCTTCCATATTTAGAACGAAGCTCCATTCAACTTTCGACTCCACTTAAACCACACTATCCTTTATTTCGTGTAAGTATCTCTTTCCTTTTTATGCTCCATTGCTTTCTCTTTTAATTTTTAGTATCAAATATTTGTATAATTGAGCTACCAGTATATTTCAAATCCAAATTCAGACATCTTGAGTTCTGTCAAGTATCAATACCATGTGAATAATTGAGTGGTCGTATATATGAACGTGAGAAAAAAGAATTGGATTATATAATCGAGTAATATTATTTTTTTCTCGAAAAAGCTATGCATATGAAAAAGCTAGCTAGTGAGAGAGTTAGCATGTTTTGTTGATATGTCCAAAAACACCAAACTCATCTTAACGAACTACCACTACGGCACTACCACTGCCCGCACTACTACGGTCTATCACACTCATAACACACAATAAGCAAAACAAAGCCTATATATTGACTCAAAACTGATTCTAATGAATCATAGATGAAGTAATATTTTAGTCAATTTAAAACCTCGAATCGATGGAAGACAAACTCCTACTTCCAATAGTACGTACCCACCCGATCTATCATCTAAAGATTTCAACTAGTGGTCTTAGCTTGTACTCTTAGTTATCACTTTAGCGGATATAGATGCATATTGTTGGTAAATATATTTTTTGAGATAGGTCAATTTTTCCGCAAAGTTTCATATGAATTCAAGACAAGTCTTTCGTAACATCTACAAAAATGTAGCTCATTCACTTCCATTTCCAACACCCAATCTTTCACAAGTTACATAAATTTTCTCATGGTACAAAATAATGATGGACGACCAAACAATTAGTACCAAAATATAGTAACACGTTGATGACAAAAAAAAGATGTAAATTTCGTAATCGATATCGACAAAAATATTAATGAGAGATTAGTTCTACCGCCATCTATCACCATTAGTGTGGCATTTTTTTCCCTTTTGTAGTGAATTTCCATAATTAGATATGAAATATGACATGATCAGAATTATAGTTGTTTTTTATTGGCAGTAAAATGTTCGTACCCTGTATACCAAATTTAGAATTATCGATTATTTCCATGCAAATGAAATAGAAATTTTAACGTGAAAATGCTTAAATACTGTGTAAATGCATATTTTCTACTGTATCATACGGAAATATCTAGCATGTACAGTTACCAAAATATATGTTTGAATTTTTTTTTTCCTATTGTCAACAATGGAATTGAAAAGTTAGTCGTAAGATTTACATACTTTATTTTTTGGTTAACTTATGATTAGTTGTTATGATCTAGCTACGTGACTGAAATTGAAGAAAATGTCGCTTTTGTAAACCTAAACCATTAATTAAACGATAAAGTAAGAAAACTTGTTCAGTGAGAAAACATATTAATTCCCACAAAAGACGGACTTAATTAAACTTTTCATCAAAAACTTTAATTTGGTCAAGCTCACACGAAACTCATGTGATTATGTGAAAGCTAGCCTTTTGACCTTTGATTTTGATATTTACTTAAAACTCTTTCTGGGAAACTCCCTAACGCTTGGTTGGTAGATTTCACATCATGCAAAATTTATATTTTCAATGGTGATCGATATCTAGTTTTGTGGTTGGAGCGGCAAATATAGCTGTAATAACTTTATTTAATCAATTTTGTATTGTTACCAGTATACGTATAGGAGTTCTTTTAGAAAAGGAGAAAAAGAATTGAAATTCATCAATACACTATTGGAACAAACACACAAAAATTAACAAAAAATTTGAAAGTTTTATATGCTACATTTTTTACATGAATTATATTTTCCTAAAATAGAAAATTTTGCTATTTGTTATACTATTTCAAATCACTTTTCTTTACGTGGTTTGTTCGTTTGCTTATGATATGTTATCTTTGTTCCATCTTATCAAACTCCTACCACCATTTGGAATCTCAGACTTAGTGACATGTGGCACTACGAGAAACGTACATGTCGTCTCTCAAACTTCTTACACATGTGGCAGGCCATTAGCCAAATCACATTTTAGGATCTATACTAATTTGATTCTTGAGTTCCTTTCGTAAGTAGTTGTTTAATTTCACATAAAGCTCTTATTTTATGTTCAATTTTTATGCCATAAGTTCGAACCTATAGCCATTGTTAACTTGGATCGGCTACTATAACATATTTTCTTCTTAATTTTAATTTACATATATTTACATCAAACATAAATCAATGCTCTGACGTGGCCGCATACGTGTAAACATTCATTTATGAGACTGAAAGAGAGTATCCATACATTTGTTACGTAGATGCATTTATATATAACTCACCTTCCCTAAGGAAACAATATCCCACATCTCTACTCATCTACATTAGTCAAAAATCTCTATTGGTACTTCTCAAATTCCCAAATGGATCACAAACTACTACTAACATTTCCCAAATGTGTATACACCAAATGTATCATAACCATCATTTACGTCGTATCAATCTCTCATCTTAATGCCCATTTCATAACTTCATGCAAACAAACTCCATACCCTAGCGTCTGCGACCACCACATGTCGAATTCACCTCTCAAAACTTTAGACGACCAAACCGATGGATTCACTTTCCACGACCTTGTGGTCAGCTCCACCATGGACCATGCCGTGCAACTACACCGCCTCGTCTCTACCGTGAAACAGCGTCATTCTCTCCACAAACATGCAAGGTCAGCTTTGTTTGACTGCTTGGAGCTCTACGAAGACACTATAGACCAACTCAACCACTCTAGGAGATCGTACGGTCAATATTCTTCGCCGCATGATAGACAAACCGCGTTAAGCGCAGCCATAGCTAATCAAGACACTTGCAGAAACGGATTTAAAGATTTTAACTTAACCTCTTCGTATTCAAAGTATTTCCCAGTACAAATTCACCGGAATCTCACTAAGTCTTTAAGCAACTCTTTGGCAGTTACTAAGGCTGCGGCCGAGGCGGTTGCCGAGAAATATCCATCGACGGGGTTCACTAAATTCAGTAAACAAAGAAGTAGCGGTGGAGGTGGTGGCCGTCGGAGATTATTGATGTTTTCCGACGATAAGTTTCCATCGTGGTTCCCTCTTTCCGACCGTAAACTACTGGAAGATTCCGAAACTACGGTGAAAGCCGATCTTGTGGTGGCTAAAGACGGTTCGGGTCATTACACAAGCATTCAACAAGCGGTAAACGCAGCAGCCAAACTTCCTCGGAGAAACACTAGACTTGTGATATACGTTAAAGCCGGCGTTTACAAAGAAAACGTGGTGATCAAGAAATCGATCAAGAACGTGATGGTTATCGGAGACGGCATTGATTCTACCATCGTCACTGGTAATAAGAACGTTAAAGATGGCACGACGACGTTTAGGTCCGCAACTTTTGGTACGTCGCCCGTGCTATATAGATAGAAATTTATCAAAAATACTTTCTAAAAGTGATATTTATTAGAACTATATCAATTCTCGCACATACATTTACATAAACACATTTATTAAACTAAATAACTTATAGCCATTGTTTATCCGATTGTATTAAGATTTTAGTTTCTACAATTTTTTAATTATCAAAACAAAAATTACTTTGATAGAAGTTGCTAAATTTAACTAATATGATGTGGATGCTAGTTCCTATAAACTTTTAGCTAAAAACTTTTATTTTCATTTTTTTAAAATTCCAATATTATTTACGTTTTAGGGTAAAGAAAAATAATTTACTCGTTTTTTGGTGTTTAAAGTTTCAACGCATACACTTTACTCTCTTTTTGACGTCTAACCACTAATGATTTGTTCACAAAATCATATGATTTACTCTTGAACTATATAACTTTTGGACTAATATTTAACAAATAAATTTTTGTTTAATCCGCAACAGCTGTTTCCGGCAGCGGTTTTATCGCACGAGGCATATCATTCGAGAACACGGCGGGACCGGAGAAACATCAGGCGGTGGCTCTCCGATCAGGTTCAGACTTCTCCGTCTTCTACGACTGCTCTTTCAAAGGCTATCAAGACACTCTCTACCTTCATTCTCGTCGTCAGTTCTTGAGAAACTGTAACATCTACGGCACCGTCGATTTCATCTTCGGAGACGCAACCGCCATCCTCCAAAACTGTAACATCTACGCTCGTAAGCCGATGAGCGGCCAGAAAAACACGATCACCGCCCAATCACGCAAAGACCCGAACGAGAACACTGGCTTCGTCGTCCAGAGCTCGACGGTGGCTACGGCCTCGGAGACTTATTTAGGACGGCCGTGGAAATCGTATTCGAGGACGGTTTTCATGAAATGTAATCTCGGAGCGTTGGTTAATCCGGCGGGGTGGTTGCCTTGGAACGGCGAGTTTGCTCTGAGTACTCTTTATTACGGTGAGTATGCTAATACCGGCGCCGGAGCAAGTGTCTCCGGTAGAGTTAAATGGCCGGGTTATCATGTTTTAAAGACGGCGACGGAGGCTGGGAAATTCACGGTGGAGAATTTCTTGGACGGAAACTATTGGATTACGGCGGCGGGAGTACCGGTCAACGATGGACTTTGACTTTGATTTGAATCTTTAATTTTTGATTAGTGTGGTCTTCTTTTTTTTTTTTTTTGACATCTTTGCATCGACAAGGCCGATCTATAGCCAATCCCTATTACGCGGGGT